CAGTTGGTCAGGTAGCGCAGCTGGTCCTTGCCGCGGAAGACCTTGCCGATGGAGTCGGAGTGGCGGAACTCGGTGATGGCGCCCAGGCCGGTGTACTCGGCCTTGCTGATGGCCTCCCCGCCCATGTCGATGACCTCCTGCACGATGTAGGCCTTGGCGCCCGAGCCGAAGCCGTGCTCGGTGTTCAGGTTCTTGAGGCGGCCGTAGATGACGCCCAGGTCCGCGGGCCACATGTGCTTGGCCGCGTCCACCCGGAACCCGGCCACGCCGAGGTCGATCAGGTGGTCCAGGAACTCGACCACCTTGTCCTGCACGTAGGAGTTGCCCTGGTTGAGGTCGCGCAGACCCACCAGCTCGCAGTTGCGCACCTGGTTGGCGTCGTTGTAGTTGCTGATGGGGCAGGTGGGGTTGAAGTCCAGCGAGGAGTAGGGCACTCCGGGGTAGCTCTTGCTGCTGGGGCTGGCGGTGCTGCCCCCCGTGCCGTAGGTGCCTCCGTCGGCGGCCATGTGGTTGAACACCACGTCCACGTAGGTGCGCACTCCGGCGTTGTTGCACCGCCTGACCATGCTGGCGAACTGCTCCTCGTTTCCGGAGCGGGTGACCAGCTTGTACGAGATGGGCTGGTAACGCTCCCACCAGGGGCGGCTGTCCTTCACGGCGTTCTCGTTGACGGGGGAGACCTGTGGGTGGGTGATGGTTGGGTTATGTCCTCGAGTACCCACTCAAGTGTCCTCGATCCTCACCTGCACTCCGGCAAAGCCGTTCGGCCCCAGGAAGTTCTCGCACTCGGCGGCGATGTCGTCCCACTTGCACTCGAAGAGGTGCACCATCCCACTGCGCCCGGAGGCGTAGTTGGTGTCGAACTGGGCATTGGCCACCGCCAGAAGGGCGAGGCACACCAGACTCTTGGCCGAAAACATGCTGATTCTAGGTGGAAGCTAAGTTTCACTCTGATTGGAGGCAGTCGGTGCAGCTGCTTATATAGTGAATGGAGTGTGGATTGTAGAGTGGACCCCCTGCTTATAATTCCCTGGGTTTCGTGGGGAGTGATTTGTGGCTCCTTATGATCTTATCGCACTTAGAATGCGGGAGTCTTGATTAGTTCGTCCTATCGATTTTTTTGGCAGACGTGCTGGAACTGGAGATTTTCGCAGATGATTAGTTAGCCGTCGAATGTTTTTTTCTATATCAATTATTCATCGGGACAGTGCATTCCTTTGATATCGGCAGGCGTTAACAATTTATTGGCCACTTTACCAGCATGCTGCTGAAAGCGTGACCATTGTGTACTATGATTCCTATGGTTAAATGTTTGTATTTCACAAAGTATTGCACATCTAATACAAAAATACTTAATATTTTGGTCTATACGTAAACTTTAGGTCAATATATATGTGTTTGGATAAAGAATGCTTAGCGTGAAAAGTTTGGTAACGTATAAACAATTATGCTAGTCACTAGAATAAACTCACACAAAATACTTATTTAGTTGTATTTAAACCTTATAGTCGTAGAGTAAAAGGCCATGTTGTATATAACAGCTATAAGGATGCGTTTTCGATCCTATCAAGTATATATATTCTTGATGAGAATCAATAGCCCAGTTGATCTAGCCATGCCCGTAAGTCCGTCTGTCCGTCCGTGTGAACATCGACATCTCGGGAACTAGTAGTGTATTTATTGTTGTTTTACTTAGCCAATTTAAAATTTAAACTTGAGACATTTCTCAGTCGCTTCTAACCAAGTATGCCACCTTTTTGGACACGAAGTTCTGGCTTCACCGCTCGCAACTCACGCAGAATACGTGACTTTTGGCCTTGACTGGCGGCCACTTGATCCTCCGGATTCAGGACTCCAGACTCTGGAGTGGCGGAATGCCAACACGTGCAGGACGACGCATTAATTGGCGACTGGTGCCCAACTTATCTGCGTCTATCCAGGACCTCTTCTGGCTTTGCATGCTCACATTTCCTTCCTGTCGCAGTGCCAAATGAAATTTGCAGCGCAGAGGAAAATAAGAAACCCGAAAAGGCAGAGTGCAACACATGGAGCTAGTCAGACTCCTTGGGGGCGCTTCCTGTTGATCCTTGAGCATGGAGGAGCGTCCTGCCATGCCGGATGTCTCTGGGTAATTTAGATAGCTGCAGTTCTTGTTGCTGCCGCTCAAAGTTGCATAATGTCACTTTGAAAGTGTCGCAGGGCAAAGGACATGCGAGCACCCGCAGGACATGCAGACATCTTAAAGCTGCGATAAGCCGGCAACGATTTTTATGAAATTCCTAAGACTGCTCCTGTTTGCTTACACACTCCCTGTTCTTTCCTTTGGCTCTTAGTCAACATCCTTTTTTAATGTGACTGTGTATGCCCGAAGGATTTGTGCGTAATGAAAAACTGTCACGAAGGGCGAAGGATGAGCCTAAGCCATTCCGCAGGTATGTGTGCAGAAATTGAAAAGCGCTGCCCGAGAGTCGGAGGAGCATTAAAATGGCAAATTTGTGAGCAGGACTCGGGCCAGGACATTTATGGCCGACAGACGACAGAGGACAGGGACAGACGGCGACGACGGGACATAAAAGCGGCGACGCCTGCGTGATAAGCGCATAAATCAGCCAAAGGACGAAAGATCCCTTTCCCCAAAGCCGGTAGCTTAACCCAAGACGTAACCACCCATGTAGACACTTTTCAATATGGGTTGGTATCTCATCTCAGGGTTACTTAGGTAATTCATGTACCAGTTAATTGCGGCTTTATTTGGCAGGGGAAAAGGAAAGAGGAAAACAACTTTATTACTGGATGGTTTTGAAGTCCAGTAACTCAAAATACATGTATTTGACTGGTTTCGTAAGATATTTTAATTAATCACTATACTTTCTCAACGTTTAGCAAAGCTAAAAAAAAAAAAAAAATTAAAAAAAATAATAAACCAATCTAAAGTTCAAAGGATAAATATGCACTTAGGATAATACTGAATAATAACAAAACCTTGAATTTGCTTGTCTGTGCCTCTCATTTCAGATCCTTTGCTGTACCAGTAATCGCAAATCCTGAAGAATTATATGCGCCATTCCAGAGATGCGAGTGGAATCTGTGAAACCCAAAGGACAACAACGAAGGTCATCCTGGCGAGCTCATTGCTTATGCTCGAACACGGAGCAAATTCAAATTACAAATTATGTTTTCGTCATTGACCCGAGCTTTACGAGAGTTCCCGCCCCCTTTGGTTTGCCACGCCCCGCCCCTCACCGCCCATATCCGATGGTCAATGTCCGCGCGGTGTCAACTATTTAGTTTCCGGTTTTAACTTGCGCCATAAACCGGGCGTTATGTGTCCGCTTTTATGGCTTCTAGCGACGTCCCGGCTTCATTGTTTCTTAATAATCCGACGAGCGTCTTCGGAGTGCACACGTCCTCGCATTAAGGATGTTTATGGGCCAGACACTGTTTCCACTTGGGGAGGAGGGTGGTGTGTTGAGGGTGGGCCATTCCTCCCGCCTAGTTGCATGCCACACATACCTCCCCGCGTTGCAGTCATAAATGCGCTTAATTGGCAATTTTTGTGTAAGCGTGTTGAAATTTTTACACCCCGCCCGACTCGACCGAAAGTTGCAGTCATAAATAGGAAATATGTTCGTGGAGTGCCGGAGTGCTCCGATTGCGGGTGGGGCATCCGCTTTTATGGGTCATGCATGAATTTGCCGGGATTTATATGCGGGCTACATGACCTGGATTCTTATGGCCCGCAACCAGCACCATTTCCTTGGCTAATCAAAAGATATTTCGGCAGCCGCAATAAATGAATTTGCCTCGACCACAAATGGACATTATCTTTTTAATACTTGCCACAATTTGTTTTATCATCACAACAATTTCAGCTTTCTGAAAAGGCTTGCGAGGTGAGCAAAATAAATGGCCAAGTAATAATACCTAAATAGGTAAGTTCGAAACAAAAATTGGTAAGGTAAAACCTTACAAAATTGATTTATTTCCGTATTTACCAGATTTTGGCATTTTCAAAATGTTGGCCCTAAATTATACATTTTTAATGGTTTTTTTGTCATAACTGCACGAAAATAATACAGAAAGCCAAAAGAATGACTGTTTTGTGCAGCTAAAGACCTACACTATTCATTTCAGGTCGATTTGGACTAATTTATTTTTTGACCTATTTTGTCATTTTTCATAATTATCATATTCATCGAAAAATCTACACAAATAAAATTTTTCTTTCTGTGAATGCCACTCGATTGGAAATTTTATAACGAATTCAATGAGGTATGTTATTCCAACATGTGACTATTATTTCCCAGGGTTTTGATAAAAAAACCGAAATAAAAGTGTGTTTTTCCGGGTCTTCGGATTTTGGCATTTTTGATAAGGGGTTACATCATCCATTTTTGCAAAAAATCGACCAAAATGAAAATTTTTAGCTGTGAATGCCATCCGAATGGAAATTTTATAACGAATTCAACGAGGTATGTTATTCCAACATGTGACTATTATTTCCCAGGGTTTTGATCAAAAAACCGAAATAAAAGTGCGTTTTTTCGGATCTCCGGATTTTCGCATTTTATATAAGGGGTTACATCATTAATATTTTACCTTAGCAGTAAGGCACTGGAATTAAGGTTTCCTTCTTTCACAACGAGTGATTTAATTTCTATAAAAGTAAAAAATCGTGTCATGTGGGCCATAGTTCGCAGTGGTCACGCTTCCAACGGCATGGAAGTGAAGTGGCCAATAAATTCCCCCATAGAAGCAGATATCAAAAGAATGCACTGTCCCGATGTTTGCTTAATACGACGTTATTATAATTAGCCACCAGTCAATAGGTCTGCCCTGAACGCTGATAAGGCGATTTAATCGAAACTTAATCAACCCGTACATGAGAGCGTTGTGCCTTGGGGGGCGATAAGATCTCATCGCCCCACAAATCACTCAAAAGCGGTGAGACATCTAGCAGCGCACCCCATATATAAGCAGCTGCACCGACTGCCTCCAATCAGAGTGAAACTTAGCTTCCACCTAGAATCAGCATGTTTTCGGCCAAGAGTCTGGTGTGCCTCGCCCTTCTGGCGGTGGCCAATGCCCAGTTCGACACCAACTACGCCTCCGGGCGCAGTGGGATGGTGCACCTCTTCGAGTGGAAGTGGGACGACATCGCCGCCGAGTGCGAGAACTTCCTGGGGCCGAACGGCTTTGCCGGAGTGCAGGTGAGGATCGAGGACACTTGAGTACCCTTTGAAGACACCTCAATACCATACCATCCCCCACCCACAGGTCTCCCCCGTCAACGAGAACGCCGTGAAGGACAGCCGCCCCTGGTGGGAGCGGTACCAGCCCATCTCGTACAAGCTGGTCACCCGCTCCGGAAACGAGGAGCAGTTCGCCAGCATGGTCAGGCGGTGCAACAACGCCGGAGTGCGCACCTACGTGGACGTGGTGTTCAACCACATGGCCGCCGACGGAGGCACCTACGGCACGGGGGGCAGCACCGCCAGCCCCAGCAGCAAGAGCTACCCCGGAGTGCCCTACTCCTCGCTGGACTTCAACCCCACCTGCGCCATCAGCAACTACAACGACGCCAACCAGGTGCGCAACTGCGAGCTGGTGGGTCTGCGCGACCTCAACCAGGGCAACTCCTACGTGCGGGACAAGGTGGTCGAGTTCCTGGACCACCTGATCGACCTCGGCGTGGCCGGGTTCCGGGTGGACGCGGCCAAGCACATGTGGCCCGCGGACCTGGGCGTCATCTACGGCCGCCTCAAGAACCTGAACACCGAGCACGGCTTCGGCTCGGGCGCCAAGGCCTACATCGTGCAGGAGGTCATCGACATGGGCGGGGAGGCCATCAGCAAGGCCGAGTACACCGGCCTGGGCGCCATCACCGAGTTCCGCCACTCCGACTCCATCGGCAAGGTCTTCCGCGGCAAGGACCAGCTGCGCTACCTGACCAACTGGGGCACCGGCTGGGGCTTCGCCGCCTCCGACCGCTCCCTGGTCTTCGTCGACAACCACGACAACCAGCGCGGACACGGGGCCGGAGGCGCCGACGTGCTCACCTACAAGGTGCCCAGGCAGTACAAGATGGCCTCCGCCTTCATGCTGGCGCACCCCTTCGGCACCCCGCGGGTGATGTCCTCCTTCTCCTTCTCGGACACCGACCAGGGCCCGCCCACCACCGACGGCCACAACATCGCCTCGCCCTCCTTCAACAGCGACCTCTCCTGCGCCGGCGGCTGGGTCTGCGAGCACCGCTGGCGCCAGATCTACCAGATGGTGGCCTTCAGGAACGCCGTGGGCTCGGACGCGGTGCAGAACTGGTGGGACAACGGCAGCAACCAGATCTCCTTCAGCCGCGGCAGCAGGGGCTTCGTGGCCTTCAACAACGACAACTACGACCTGAACAGCTCCCTGCAGACCGGCCTTCCCGCCGGCACCTACTGCGACGTCATCTCCGGCTCCAAGAACGGCTCCTCCTGCACCGGCAAGTCGGTCACCGTCGGATCCGACGGACGCGCCAGCGTCTACATCGGGAGCTCCGAGGACGACGGCGTGCTGGCCATCCACGTCAACGCCAAGTTGTGAGCATGGAGCATGGAGCATTGAGCATCGGGCCAAGTACCGATGGAGTCATTGAGATTACTAATTTTACTAAATACACATGACGAGATTATTAACACACAAGTCTTTTAAACTCGGGGGATGATAAGAAATATTCGAGCTTATTGAGTGTGCTCCTTTTGAAGCAAATATAAACATGGTAAGACATAATTTGAGGGTTCATTTACTTTTTCCTGCCTAGAAAGGAGTATCAATATGTTTTCATGAACGAAACAGGGCGAGAAAAAGATGAGCCCAAGCTAAGGCACAAACAAAAGGATATAGTGATGGCATCCACTTCATTCTCAGGTCGCCTGCCTCCTCATCTCGGTGTTCATCAGCATCTGCAGCCGGGTGACCACGGGCACCATCATCTGGATGCCCAGGTGCTGCTCCAAGGTCTGGGCTATCTCCTCGTGGAGGGCCTGCTCCAGGGTCTCGCTGATGTTGCGCTTCTCGACGATCTCCACCTGCGGCACCTGGAGCGGGTAGCTCGAGGGGCAGGTGAACAGCAACTGGAGGGCAAAGCCTCCTCGCTCCCCGGCTCCCACATTCGCTCCATCCTCGTAGTTCTGAGTGGCCAGCGGCACCTTCAGTTGCAATCTTGGGCGACGGGCCAAAACCAGGTAAGCCAGGCCCAAATAGTGCATCGTTCGCACCTCATTTTCCTGCAAATCCGAGAAAAACCGCGCCGACCTTACAGCATCCCAATCATTTTGCGAATCCCGCTTCGCAACTTTTCCTCCTCCTCCTTTCTCACTGTGCGTCATCCTTGGGTAATTTTGAATTTTGCCTATTTCCTGCCGTCCCTGGATTCCCTTTTGCCACACCGAAATTATTTGAAATGTAATGCCAGGCCATGTCAGCAGAGTATGTCCTAAGCCGAGATTTGCATAGTCCCATCAAAGCAATAACAGATGGAAGGCTATCATAAGATTGAAGATCTCTGGAGGGTGGTGGAAGATTTAGAACAACCCCTAGTGAAACCTTAATGCTCTTTCGTCAAAAACTCTCTGGCTAATATTAAAAACAATCCCATAGTTTAACTACCCTTCTTAAGTAGGGCATCACAAATAAAACCAGTCTATACTTGTACCATGAATATGCTCGCATTAATGCCCTCGCCGCAAATTGAGTTTGTTCGTTTGGCTGATTTGATTAGCCTAGATTTGCTGGTCTCAGTGCTATGCAAATTAGTTGTGTGATTATCGCGAAAATTGGCAAACAGAAGGCGGCACCCCTCCCCTTTCTTCGAGGAAAAAGCACCACCCCTTAATAGTTTTCAGCTGCAGACGTGCGTGCGGATTTTCCCTTTGGTATTTGGTCGCCTTTGGCACTTGGGAAATCTTCCACGCATATGAGTAACATTTTTATTAGCCCTGAGAAATTTGCATTTTAGAGCAGTTTCAGTCACGTGAGCTGGTTTGATTAGGCCACATGTGCCGTTGGGGTGGGGCTTGGATTTCCCTTTGATTTCACGCCCCAACGCCTTCGCATAGTGCCGTTCCTAATGAGAGATGATGAACGAGGAGCGATGTTCACCTCGCTGTCAATCAGGTTTCAATAAAGCAGCCAGCAGCTAGCAGCCTCAATCTTCATTAGACCCGAAGGCGCAGGATGGATGTGCCACAAAACGAGGCAGAACCCTTTCATCGAACTCACTCAAACATGTTGCATTGCCCCTACAACGGAGCCGAGTGCGTCGGGCTTTTCCACCCACTTTTCCGCCCGCTTTTCCGAGGCGCCTCTCGGCTGGCTGGCGGTTGGCTGGCTCGCTGGTTCGTTCCGGCCACGTTTGCGGCTCCTCCGCCGAGAAGGCAACGCCCCGGAACGTGACCAAATCGCATTCGGGGCGGGCACCCCGAACAACCAGGGCGCGGAAGTCTTTGGACTCCTCCTGCCCTCCGGGATACTTGCAGATTTTTCCTCAATCTTGTATTGACTTTTTGCCTCAGCCGACTGGGATTTGAAGACATCAACCCCCCCTCTGCCAACTGTGATAGGGAGTACGAGAAGGAGGGGGGTTGTGCTTTGTTTTTGAGTGCTGAGCTTCCTGTCGCTGTTGTGGAAACTTTCTGAAGCACTTGTTTACGATTTGAAGTGCATTTCTGGGGAGGAGGGTCTTCCATAATTTGGGCTGCAGTCTGCGGCCATCGATTGCGATCTCTCCTCCGGCAAGTGTGAAAAGTTTTCCACTTCAAGTCGGCAAATCTCAGCTGCTAAGTTCCTTGGTTATGCTAATGAGCCAAACTTTGGCCACTCCGATCGTTGGCATGTCTATAATTGAAAGTTCTGTCTGTTTTCGGTTGGTCGGAGGTGACTGGAGTGCTCTGCGGATGGAACAAGGTCACTCCAGGGAACCCCACCCATCCGAGACACACCCAGTGTCGAACAAGCAAATCATATTTTTAGTTTAGAGCCCCTTCCGACTGATAAGATATCACCTCGGCCAAAGGTTATAAGAGGCCCACGGAGCATCGCTGGCTGGGCATACAGGTTGCTAGCCCGGCATGAAGTACTCTACCCTGCTCGTAGTGGGTCTCCTTTTGGCCCTCGTCCTCGGCGGCGAAGCCAAGTCCAAGTCCAAGACCAAGTCCAAGTCCAAGAAGAACAAGCAGAAGGAGGCGATCCTGCCTCTCGCCGAATCCTGCAAGCCGGAAAACTGCAAGCTGCCCGACTGTCGCTGCTCCGATGCAGTTCTCCCCAGATCCAAGTTCCAGGGAAAGGAAAACGAGATTCCACAGGTCAGAAGAGCACAATTTTTGTATCTTTTGAGTACTTAAATTTTCAGGATTCTTATCGTAAACCGTTTTCTTAGGACTGTAAGAAAACGATTGTAACCTTTGCAAACAACAAATTAGATAAGGGTAGACGTAACGTTATCCACATATGTTAAGGAAAATATTTCAATGCAAGAATGTTACACTTATTAAAATAATATTCTAAATTAGATAAGGGTAGACGTAACGTTATCCACATATGTAAAGTAAAATATTTCAATGCAAGAATATTACACTTATTAAAATAATATTCTAAGCAATTAACACTTTTTAAAAAATACCAGAAAGTCTTAACGGCCACATTTCCTTACATGACTTGTATCTTAGTTATTCTGTGTTCCATATTTTTCTCATTTTAGAGTAGCTACATATGTAATTTAATTGAAAATAATTTTCAAATCAGACAAACAAATACCTATAAAAGTATCATAAACTATTATTTCATAATCCCCTCTATTTGAATATACATCCCACTACTTCTGCACCCTAGTTCGTGACCATAACCTTCGATGATGCAGTGAACGCAGTGAACTACGCCCAGTACGAGCTGCTCTTCGAGGGACTGACCAATCCGGATGGCTGTGATGCCGCGGGCACCTTCTTCCTCTCGCACGAATACACGGACTACGTGAGAGTGAACGCCCTCTACCGGGCGGGCCACGAGATCGCCCTGCACTCGGTGACCCATGGCGACGGCACGGACTACTGGCGGTCGGCGGACGTGGCCACCGTGGAGCGGGAGTTCGGGGCCCAGCTGAAGATGCTGGAGACCTTCGCCAAGGTGGACCCCAAAAGGGTCCAGGGAATGCGACTGCCCTTCCTCCAGATCTCCGGCAACAACACCTTCGAGGCAGCCCGTCGCCTGGGCCTGAGCTACGACAGCTCCTGGCCGACGCAGCAGTTCAAGGACCCGGCCATGTGGCCCTACACCCTGGACTTCAAGTCCAAGCAGGACTGCCAGATCGGCCCCTGTCCGGAGGCCTCGATCCCCGGCCTCTGGGTCAATCCCATGGTCACGTGGACCGACACCGAGGGCTACAGCTGCTCCATGATCGATGCGTGCGTGTATCCGCCGGAGGACGACGTGGACGAGCTCTTCGACTGGATGCTGGAGAACTTCAACAGGCACTACCAGGGCAGCCGGGCTCCCTTCGGAATGTACCTGCATGCCGCCTGGTTCTCACGGGGTCGCAGCTACTTTGGCGCCTTTAAAAAGTGAGTAAGGTTGGGTTTTAAGTGTAAATTGTATAATGCTTATTCCACTTAAAAAACAAACATTAAGGGGTGTCTATAGATCTTGTATGATTTGGAAACAATTCATTCTTTTTCAAACTTGAAAGTTAGTTTATACAAATGGATAAGAGCCAAACGTTTAATATCACTGGTGGTTTATATATCATATTAGATAAGACTTACAAAATTCTTAAATACTTTTAATATATGTTTCCAAATCATTCTTATCTCAGCAGTCCCTCAGATAAATCCCTCTTATATTTCCCCTTTGAGTTGAGTTTTAAATGTAATATGTATATTTTTTATGGGTGTCTATAAATCTTGTATGATTTGGAAATCTCTCCTTCTATTTCAAACTTGAAAGTTAGTTTTTGCAAATAGATAAGACCCAAACGTTTCCGGTATATAATTTATAATCACTGGTGGTTTATGGATCATAATATTAGATAAGACTTACAAAATACTTCGAATATTTGTTCCTTTAAGCTGAGTTTTGAGGTAATGTGTATATTGTTTATACCTCTAAGAAACAAAAATGTAAGGGTGTCTATAAATATGTTATGGTATGATTTGGAAACCTTTCCTTATATTTCAGAGCCAAAGGTATAAATTTTCAAATCCCTGGTTGTTTGTGTATCACAATATTAGATTAGACTTAAAGAATACTTTAATACTTTTAATATAGGTTCTTATACCCTTGCAGAGGGTATTATAATTTTGGTCAAAAGTGTGCAACGCAGTGAAGGAGACATCTCCGACCCTATAAAGTATATATATTCTTGATCAGGATCACCTCCTGAGTTGATATAGCCATGTCCGTCTGTCCGTCTGTCCGTCTGTCTGTTTCTACGCAAACTAGTCTCTCAGTTTTAAAGCTATCGGATTGAAACTTTGCACACACCCTTCTTTCCTTTGCACGCAGTATATAAGTCGGAACGGCCGGGATCGGCCGACTATATCCTATAGCTGCCATATAACTGATTGATCGGAAATGCCATAACTTTCGTGTTTGTAAAGTTAGGAAGTTGGGATTTTCTATGGGTTTTATATTTGGCCAATCAATCCAACCTACCAAATTTCATAAGGATCGGCCGACTATATCCTATAGCTGCCATATAACTGATTGATCGGAAATGCCATAACTTTGGTGTTTGTAAAGTTAGAAAGTTGGGATTTTCTATGGGTTTTATATTTGGCCAATCAATCCGACCCACCAAATTTCATAAGGATCGGCCGACTATATCCTATAGCTGCCATATAACTGAATGATCGGAAATGCCATAACTTTGGTGTTTGTTAAGTTAGGAAGTTGGGATTTTCTATGGATTTTATTTTTGGCCAATCAATCCGACCTATCAAATTTCATAAGGATCGGCCGACTATATCCTATAGCTGCCATATAACTGAACGATTGGAAATGCCATAACTTTGTTGTTGTTAAAGTTAGGAAGTTCGGATTTTTTATGAGTATTAAGAATGCATCATATGAATATTTTTGGAGAATATAATTTACAGAGTATTCTGCAAGGGTATATCAACTTCGGCTCCGCCCGAAGTTAGCTTTCCTTTCTTGTTATAAAGTTTAAATTGCTATGTCCCTTTACCATTTCCCCCTTCTCTTTCCGTCACCGCAGATTCATCAACCACCTGAACACCTACTCGGATGTGTACTTCACCGGCATTTCGCGGATGCTGGAGTACGTGAAGCGGCCCGTCCTGGGCGCCCCGTTCAAGGACTGTCCCGAGCTGCCGGAGGCGGAGTGCCGGGCGGTCCAGTGCCGAGTCCAGAAGATGTCCACCGGCGAGGAGCGCTACATGACCGTGTGCGACAAGTGCCCGGCCGTCTATCCCTGGCTGGACAATCCTCTAGGACAGCAGCTGTAGGCCGCCAGCCAAACGCCAATAAAGAGTGTACACAGAAAACAATTCGGGGAGTTTTTAATTAGAAATATTTTGGATTTCCAAAATGATTATTATTTCATTTACTTATTTACATTTCTGATCTAAAAGTAACCCCAACTTCATATGCAATTTGATCCGATAAAGTTGATAGGTTTTTCCCTTTGTGTGCTGCATAATGAAGCTGCCATGTTTTTCGGACAGGAAGCAGTTGACATTTCCCATCTCTAAGCCAAATTTGCATGCCACACCACCGACATCGCTGATAAATGAGCTCAAATTATGTTTCTGGCCGTGAGACGCTTAATTAACTCATTCAGCGGAGCAGAGCCCCGAGTGTAGTCATATTTCATGGCCTCTTCGTGAATTAATGCGCCAACTTCCGTGCCCAAAAATGGACCCACATGGAGTCCTGTTTTGGGGTCCTGTCAATGCAGCTGCTACCTGTAAATGACGTTCGACCGTCTGGCCAGAATTCGGTTGCATTTTTGTTAATGGACCTCTAACTAATGACAGCCCCCGGGTTGCATATCAGTCAGATTCTGAGGCTGAGGACGAGGATCCGCCGGAGTGGGTATCCTGTCCGGCCGCATTTGCGGTTGCTGTCGCAAATTATGTATGCGGTCAGCCGAGCCACCTCGTCCCCGGGGAAGCGTTGTTCCAGAAGGGGGATGGGGATGGGGATGGCCAGGTTGAACATGGCGACGACCACAACATATTGGTTGATAGTTGACCAAGGAGCGGGTGGAGCCACAAGGAGGTCATCTCTCCCACCCCGACTCAAATGTGTTGAAACGGTCGGGGATTGGACTGCGGAGCTGCTCCCTTTGAATAGGAAGATCCTGGAAGGGGGGTTCGATGACTTGGGAGGCACTTTACAAAACCCCAAGCTGCCATATTTATCTGTGGTCAAGTTAAGTGGGATATTGTTCCCGAAAATATTCACAGCTTAAATCGACTTAAAGAGTTTTAGTTTAATTTTTGTAAAAGGATCTTTAGCTTTGGTCGCCAGCTGTGCAAAATAGTGCGGATAAAATCAACTTGAGTTACGGCTTTTTGATGAAAACCCCCAAAATTGACGAAATTCGGAGATACGGAAAAATCAACTTTTATTTCGGTTTTTTGATAAAAACCCATGGAAATAATGGTCAAATGTTGGAATGTCATACCTCGTTGAATTCGTTATAAAATTTCAAATCGAATGGCATTCACAGCTAAAAAAAATTTATTTTGGCCGATTATTCGCAAAAAATGACAATGTAACCTCTTATAAAAAACACGAAAATCGGTGAAAAAATAAATTTGTCTAAATCGAACATAAATGAATAGTTTTGGTCTTTAGCTGCACAAAACAGTCATTCTTTTGGCTGTGCGTATTATTTTGTTGAAGTTATGACAAAAAAGCCATTAATAATTTATAATTTGGGTCCAACATTTTGAAAAATTAAACTCGAATTTCGAATTTTTTGATCAAAACCCTGGAAAATAATGGTCAAATTTTGGAATATCAAACCTCGTTGAATTCCTTATAAAATTTCCAATCGATTGACATTCACACCTTAAATATATAATTTGAAATATGAGAACATTAAAAGGTCTATCCTTGAATAAAAAGTGATTGTAAAATTTATTTCGAGTAGAATAAGATTTAAGTATTTAACAAATCTTTCTATGCCTTATTAATGTAGAAAAAACTTCCTTAAAACTTAATTAACAAACCCTTGTGTCCATTAAGTATGGGACTTTTTCATAGCCCTCGACCCCAGAATTACAACTTCCATTATTTCCAGCTAGTTTTCCATTCAATTTATTCCCAATTTCTAGGCTCGCCTATGACAATGTTTGTTAGCCAGGACATACCCCTGGGGGCAGTTGGCCTCCAGGATGTTGTAGGGCTGCACCTGCACCGTTTCGTTGGGGTTCCACACCTCCTCCAAACTTATTTGCATGGCTTCATTGGGGTCAGTTGCATTGAGTCCACCGGTTTCGGCCTCCACGATTTCGCTGTCGATGGCCAAAGTTGCCAGGAGCAGATTGTTGATGACCAGGATGCAGAAAAGGCAGAGAAAGCCACACCGAGATGCCATGATTTCACGCCAATGATTCGCTGTCGGGGAATAGTTAAATTGAACTGAATCAAAATCACGGTTTTCAGTTGACCATTACGACTCGATGGTCAAGACAATTGTGAAAGTAGCTAATGACATATAAGGCAAGTTGATACAAGGGCTCTTCAACTCGAAATGATGATGATAATGATGAAATCGCTTCGTTCGAAGGTTGCCAGCAAATCAGATCTGCTTTGATAGATTTCCATTTGCATTTCAGAGGGAAATACATAGACAACAAGCAAACAATGCGGCAGACAAGAAACCTCGCTTTTATGAAAATGAAGAAAATGCTTGGGAAAATGCTTGAGAAAACAGCAACAAAAAGTGGGCAAATATTTGCTGATTACTTTCCGAAACTTGCACTGATTAACAGCGAACGCAATGCCATTGTCCTTTTGCCAGGACACTCCATTCCACCCCCCAATTAGAGGCCTCCTCCCTGTTTAGCATAAAATTCGCATGGCAGGGAAGGTGGCAGTCATAAATAAATGACTCTACGAGTCTCTGGTTCTGCCTCAGCTGTCTGTGACCCAAACAGGCATTATTTTAATGTGCTTTTATGTGGTACACAGCGAAAAAAAGGTCTCCCGTTTCCAGTATTTAACCCCGGGTCGCCCCACACGCATACCTCACACAGCCAAATGACATTTTTATGTTTCAATTTTTGTTTGCTTTTCTTTTCACTTCGCGAAAATTATGCCCACCACCCAGGCACTCTGATGATGATGATGTGGGTCGGCGGGCTAAAAAAAGGGAGCATATTGAGGGCCCTATGTGGCTTGCGGTGGTTGACAATAGAATTGTCAAAATTATTTGCTCAAATTGCTGACATTTATTAGGCAGGTTACGGCTCGGGGTCAGGTTACTTCGCAAAAAGTCACTTAGGGGATGAGATATGGCTTTTACATCGATCCCCAGGAAGCGCTTCTGACTGCAGACATTTTCTAATGACTACAGCCAATCACAACTGGCAGTAAATTTAGGAGAGACTTTTTATATGTTTTTTAACAACGTTTTATTGACAATACTGCTACTGATTTGCACTTTCTGAAAAACATATATCTGTAAAGGTGAACGACATTTCTGATCAAAACTAGATCTTTATGAGTGAATGTTGGGATGATTACATATTATATATTTGGATAACCTTTTATTGGTTGCTTTATATATTATAAGCAATAGCTTATTTTAATTTGGGCTTGCACTTGGCACAAAAAGAAATCATTTTCCTTTCAAAATAATGTTTTCATAATTTGTTTACACTTGTTGCAGGTAAACTTTCGATGTGTATTCATACAAAGTGTAGCTGCAAGGTATCAGATTTTCATTATTCGCACTGGCGACTGCATTGGTCTGCGACCGATTCGCTGATTATTCAGTTAATTATGTAAGAGGCTGCCACTTTTCCCCCATGTAGGCCTTATCATCGAGCAAACATTCTCAAGTATGCGCTGCCAGCGGGTTGTAGAACTAGCCAGCTATCGCCTCTCGGACCCCGACTTCTGTCTCTCCCAGTGGATCCGAATCTGAATCTGCAGCTGAATCAGAAACTGAGACTGGAACTGAGCCGGAAACTGAGACCGAGCGACTCAGTCTCGAGTGCGATATTGGCGAGTGTGAACGTGTTTACTTGGGCTTCGATTGCAGGTGAACAAAGCCGACTTTACGATGCCAATTACGCGGCGGCTTTCCTGGCCGAAGCTGCTGTTTTTGTTTGTCTGGCTGTGCCTGGCATTGGATCGCAGTTATGCGGCTCGAGTGTCCAGCGATCTGTTTGTGTTTCCCTCCAAGCCCAATGAGTCCAAGCCCAATGACACCACCATCCAAACGCGGTCCAGACTCGAAGAAATCGCTCGGATAATGGCGCTGATTAACACACCGAGTGATGGCGTCTTGATGCCCAAGGAAATCAAGAAGGGCACGCCCAGAACCACGGATAGCGAAAACGAGTCAGAGAAACCAGGAAATACTCCTGTCGAAACCAGAAATGTGACCGAACCCAACAGTAGTTCCTCAAAGCAGGAGATCAACGTGAAAGATACTCCAACCACTCCAATGAATGGAACCCATCAATCCAGCGAATCAAAGATGATAACATTCGGCAAAGAGTCGGAAGAGGAGAAGCCTGCTCCGTGGCACCAAACTGAAGCCACCATTGCATCCAAGCCAGGAAGTGTGGTGATCGGACCCAGAATTACCCTGGAAACCCTTCGCATTTGTCCCGAAGGAACCACATTGAGTAATGACCACTGCCGCAAGATTGCCTAGCAGCGTGTGGAAATATCAATAAAGATCTTATGGCACTTATAAGCCCACATAATTAATTGATTTTCTCAAAAGTCAATGTAAATTGTCAAATAAACCTGTCGATTGTTCCTTCATGGAATTTATATAAAAATATGTATGTTCCATCTCTTATATTTCCCGATGTTTGGTGATTGTTAGCATTATAATGTTAAACCAAACAAAAATATATATTTAAAGTGTTTGTAAAATCAAATTTTACTTCTAAAGGAACTGTTTTAATATAGTAATTTGCCATTGATCTACATAACATGATTATAAACTAAATGAAATATAATTTCTTATTTGTTTTTGTTTTTTTTATCATTAAATTTCTGTCAGTGTAGACTAGTACAGATATATCTGAAAAGCTCATTGCTGCTCTTCAGCTTTGTTTACGTTTTGTTTTTATGGCAGCGCTGGTGTGTGGCTCTCCCACTCGCTTTTTCCCATAAAACCCACTGCGATCTTTTATCTGGTTTTGCTGGGAATGGGAATGTGAATGGAAAGATGATGATCGCCAGCAAGTCGTCTCCACGTTCAGTCGGCGAAGCCTCTTCAAAGCAAACAAACGCGCATCTCCCCCAAAAAATGTCGGTTCGAATTAACCCATTGGTGCTGTGTCTCCTGCCCCTGAGTTTCCTCCTCATCGCGGCCAGAACTCGGCCCTGCATCGATGATCGCATAGTGTTCCCCAAGGACGACGATGAGGATGGAAGCCCCTCGAAATTCATCTACCCCAAGATGAACTCCACCACAACGACCACGACCACGGAGGAACCCGCGACCACGATAACCACCCTGCTGGAGACCACGAACAGCACAGAACCGATCTCCGCGGGATCGGAGGAACTGGTCAATGGAACCACCACCCAGAAACCCATCATAGACAATCGGATATTGTTCGAGACGACTCCCAAGTGCAAAGAGGGCTTCGAGCTGCGAGCCAATCGCTGTCGAAAGCCGGCTTAATCGCTAGTCTGTAAGATAGATGTTAGTCAATAAAGTGATATTTGATAGAACCCAAGCTGTGATTGATGGCCAATGTGTGTTTCGGTGATTACTCAAAACCATTTGGTGGCCCACCGAAAAATCCCCTTAGAAAACTAATTTCACATCAGTGGGAGAAACTTTCTGGGCAAACTTAGCTCGGTGTAAAACAAAGTATTGGCGCAGTGAGTCAGTCAAACAATCAAACAATCCAACAACTTCCCGGTGCATTCAGCTGCGACTGTTATTCACGTCTCCTCGACTCTGAGTACTGATGCCTTATCTGAAGTCACGAACCTGGCTTATCGGCGGCTCAAAATAAACACTCACTTCGGCTAGATCATCTTCTGAGTCGGTGGAAGAGATCAGTCTCTTTCGAATATTCAAAGCAGTCGGAGGGTGCACTCCGCATTTAGAAATGTCTTCCCAACTCTTATCTCTGGGGTTGGCTCTGGCACTGATCTTTCTGATCGGTGGACAATGGACTGCGGCCCGGCCCCAGAATCCTTATTATGTGGAAAACGGTGGACGGTGAGTATACTACTCTATTTTTGTTGGGAGAAAAGCCCACTGGAATTGGTTTTAGATTGGAGAATCGATTGAATAACAAAGAACTTAATGTTTAGTAGACAGCTTAGGTTGAAAAGTTCTTAGCAGTTGTTTTCATAACAGGTCTTGGAAAACATACATAAGCTGTACTTCTTGAATTAAAGCAAATAAAGTGAGCTCAATGAGCTAAAGCTCTCGGTAGTCAGAAATACATAATCTACAAGTGAAGTTGTATCTCATTATCTTCCTCTCTTTACTTTATAGTCTAGGTTTTGCTTAACATATATGAACATATAATACATAAATGTATTCTATTTGCATAAATTGCGTTTTGTTGTATATATTTTAATTTATTTTCCTATTGTTTTAGGCATCATCATCATCGTCATGGATTTAGACACGGTCATGGTCCAGGATATGGTCCAGGATATGGTCCAGGATATGGTCCAGGATTTGGACCAGGACCAGGATATGGACCTGGTCCAGGATTTGGACCACCTCTTGGTCCAGGATATGGTCCAGGCTTTGGTCCAAGAGATGGACCAGGACCCTCCTTTGGTCGCTTCCCACCGCCCCCATCTGATGGCCCTCCATCAGTTAATCCCTATAATGTACCGTCTGGTGGACAACAGCCTGGCGGTCATTTCGGGGGTCAACACTTCCCACAACCTGGAGGAGATTTTAGCAGGGAACAACCGGGTGTCAAGCACTCAGGTGGAGATTTCAACAGGGGACAGCCCGGATTCCGACAACCAGGAGTAGGATTTCAGCGACCCGGTGGAAATGTGCCCTCTTCCCAGGATCTAGACAGCAATGAGGAGCTACCCACCTATTCTGTTGGTGGATCCCAGCAGCCAGGTGGATTCCAACAGCCGGGCCAAAACCCAGGTGGATTCCGCCAACCAGGTGGCGGTGAAAATACCCATCAGCCTCGACCTGGGCAAAACTCAGGTGGATTCCAACAGCCAGGCCGAAACCCAGGTGGATTCCCAAATCATGACCAAAACCAAGGAGGGTTCCAACAGCCAGGACAAAACCAAGGTGGATTCCAACAGCCAGGGCAAAATCCAGGTGGATTCCACCAACCAGGTAGCGGTGGAAATACTTTTCAGCCTCGACCTGGCCAAAACTCTGGTGGATTCCAAGACCAAGGAGGATTCCAACAGCCAGGTGGAAATTCTGGCGGATTCCAACAGCCAGGTGGTGGTGAGAATACACTTCAGCCCAGACCTGGACAAGGCACAGGAGGATTCCAGCAGCCAGGAGGAAATTCAGGTGGATTCCAGCAGCCAAGTGGAAGCACAGGTGGATTCCAGCAGCCAGGCCAAAATCAGGGACAGAAGCCCGGAGGCTCTGGGAACACGATCCAACCTCGACCCGGCAGCCAAGACGAAGACTTCTCCGAGTACAATTTCCAGTCTCCCAAGACTCTGCAGCCACGACCTGGTCAGGACTCCGCAACCGGAGGCACTGGCGTGGGGAATACCATCCAACCGATTCCTGGACAGCAACAGTCCACTCCCAGCCAGGACTCATCTGCTGACAATATACAAAATAACCTCAACGACCTCTTCAACACTCAGGAGTTTCTGTCGCCCAAATTGAGCCCCGTTTCTGAGTCCCACAGAAATCCGAAATCGGAGGCGGAGGAAGTGAACCCGGAATCGGTCAACACGCGCACTCTACTAGTCACCGATCCCAAGTGCTCGGACGGCACCAAACTCATGGCAGGACGATGCCGAAAGGAAGTCTAGGAAATACCCGCGGAAAATTCGTGTCCCGAAATCATTGTATACATACCCATTAACAAATTTCGTTGTGTCAATAAATCTGCGATTCCTTGATATCAGTACAACTGGGTTTTTTTTTGGGGGCAGCGCAGTGATCTTTATTTAACTGATAAGCTTGTTTATGCAAGATAGGAAGTACAATTTTCCCTGAGATTACCTAAGAATGTTCTTTGGGAAAAAAGTGAGTGAGAAAAGTATGAGTGCGCTTTAGCAACAAAAATGCGTCATCCGATTTAGTGTTCCATGTTTAACATCGCAATTTGTATTTACCAGTACAAATGTAATTTATTAATGACAATCTACTAAACTGCTTATCAATGTAGGGAAGTCTGGACTTCTCTAGTTTTTTTTTTACAGTGTCATCACCTTTCTTACTTGGCTATAATATATTCAGACATGCAACGAATCAATCTGAAAAATTAATGGAAAAATCGGAAGAAACACTTATTTACTCAGCATTCAAGTGTCGACGGAACCGGACGTTAAAAATGGAACTCATTAAGAATAACTTAATTCTTCTGCTTATTGCAGTGATACCTTTCTTAATAACAACGTGTCAACCTGGTTTTGAGATCCATGCCGGTCGCTGCCGAAGACCCGCTAGATAGATTTGAATTTGTAACTTTAAATCTTATAAAAGCATCGCCAGAAAATAAATATATAATATTATTAAAATATAGTGTTATCTTTATTGCCAAGATCTATCATGATCTGAGGTACATATTGAGGAGCATATACTTTTTTTACCTTATCTCTATGAGATTGAAATGCTTTACATAGCATAGGGGATCTAATAAATTACATTGTCTAATCCAATTAAGGGACCCATCATTGCCTGTCAAATGTATCAATTAAATTGATATGAAGGCAGATAACAAGGGCACTTCCCGAAATAAACGAAAAGTGGGTTAAGGTCCTCGGTAAACATTAGTTTTGGATCGGTAGTCGCGGAAAGTGCATCGCCTAGTAAATGGGTTTAAACTGGAAAGAGTTTGTGTATCTTTTCACCTTGGCGACAATACTATTACTGTTCGAAAGTTTAAAGAAATGCCCGACTGGCCTCGAATTGTTTGCGAGTCACTGCCGGAAAAGAGCCTAAAAACTGCGAATCAGCCGATGGACTACTTAACTCCCATAAATGTATCTCCAAGTTAAAATGAAATTTAAATGAAAAACATATTAAAGAACAAAACAATATGAAGTCAAAAATGATTAGTTTTATTTGACTTGGCCGAAACATCGGCTTGGGTATTATACATATAATTATATGGTTTATTTGTTCGTCTATTTGTTATATTTTAGTATCGATCAAAACACAGCTTTTGGCACGTTTCCGTCTGGCATTTTCTTGTCAATTACCATCGCACTCTAGAGTTGTGTTGTTGACCGGGTATTACTTAATCTCTGAAATTCCCGGGCAGAGGTTATTCGTCTAAGCCATGCGATGACACGTGTGACGTGGACCCGATGCAACCTCTCCATTGGGACAGCTTGGATCGATACTGAAGATGCTCTGGACCAAAATATCCGAGGAGTTCAGACCCGGCAATTCGGGTTGAGAGATCTTCACAAAGTTGGGCGCTTGCGGGTTAATGGGCGTAACAATTTGCCCTGGGGGCATGGTCGCCGCCCACTGCCAACTCAGCATCAGCAGGCCGACGATCATCACAAATCTTGACAGCATCTTAATGGGTTTCTCCAATTGTCTCGACTTCTAAACGCGGGCTTGGGAACTGCGTTACTGACTCGAGCTTGGAATACAGATGCCGATTCGATTTCTCTGGCCCCAACTGCCAAAGCTTTTACTTCGAGGGCTTTTATTGGGATTGGGAGAGCCGAAACAACTCTCTCTGATCGTTTTTATGATACGAGTATTTGCCAATAGACCAAGTCTGTTAAGTTGGCCAGTAAATATTGGTTAAGCAACGATTGGCACCATATACACAAAGATAAATTTTTGAAAAAAAATCGAGCACGATCGTTTTGTTTATACTTTATGTACTTCTAATTTAAAAATAACATAATTTTTATCTATTTATTATCAACTATTATTGTGAGAAAAAAAACTTTGGCATAAACAAAAAAGCTTAAAATCGACTTTTCAAATCAAATAAACAGACATTTCTTTTTGTTATAAGTTGTAATTCTATTTGTCCGCTTTTTAGCATTAATTACTTAATATTAATTCACTCAGTCTCTGGCGGCTTGTTAGCAATTATTGATTTATCACTGTTATAGCCATCATTATGTCACTTTTCCGCAAAGGCCGCTCGCAGTTGTTCGTGTTTGGCCTTCGCTGCCGCCTCCTTGGACTCCGCCCCCTGGTTCACCGCCTTCCATCCATACCAGCCGACGGTGTGCAGCACCAGGACGGCGATTCCGATCCGGACAGCCGGTCCGTACTTGAAGGCAGCTCCCCGAGACCCGTTTTTGGAACTATCCATACCAAAAACTGAGCTACGCCAGAGGAACGCAAATAACAACTGATAGCACGTGAATAAATCAGAGAGCGAAAAAGCTCGGAAAAGCTTTAGAATGTATTTCTAGGGCTGCGGGTAGTGTGATCGATGGAATCAGTTCCGATTTAATATTTAGCGAATTTTATATTTATTTAAAAAGAGTCAGACAAACACGCAGATGCCCGATTGTTGTTCCAAAGTATGAAAAAGTATACTTAAGAAAATAGAGTTTAAAATACCCTTATTTTAGGATTATATTTTATAGTTAATTTTAGATTTATTTTCTTTTAATTATATATCAAAACATATTAAAACCTTATAATTTCCTTGTCTTTTTACCAGCCATAACTTTGCGCCAAATGAAAATACCTTCTGGCAGGGAATACAAACCCTCGCATATCGCAAAGGCAAATGGCAGAAAATAGAGGAAAACTTGGGCATCAAATGGTACACAAAACGCTCGTATTACATAGCCAACGAGTCCTGCCGCAGGACGAACCCAGAAGGTGGGTGGGGTGTGGAAATTTCACCTGGCCGGGTGAAAGATTGATGCTGCAGGCACCAGGAATTAGCATGTTATGTTTAACGCATTTTTGCACCTTCGGCATGTGTGTGCCACAACTCCTTTTCCGTTTCCTATTCCGACTTTTCCGACTTTTGCAGCGGCAGTGGCGGTGAGGGGTTAAGGGACTTGGGGGTGCCCCCTAGCGACACATGTGCAAACAAGACGTTGCCTTAACCCATTGTGGCTTATCCAACAACAACAGAAAAGCGAGAACAAGAGCTCAGCATTTTCCGCACATTTAATCGCATTTTGTTTGGGGAAAATTGTAGGAAAGCTCACATGAATTTTAAACTGCGGTTGGAGTTGGGGTTTTGGTCTGAGGTTTTAGTGGGTGTTAGAGGGATCTCTTTGAGCCGCTTACGTGTGAGTGCCATTGAATAATGCAGCCTCTGCAGCCAAATTAAATTGAATTTAAGCTGCGACATTTAAAAATTTCATGAACCCAGGCCGCACTCGAATACTGCATACAGTAGTAATACTCCACCCACCCATTTGCAGACCCCTCTTCAAAATTTCTCCAGGAGAACCTCTTGCCGGGCTCATTAAATAGATGCCCGGTACGTGCTTCCATTTTGGGGCACATTTCATTAAGTGCACGTAAACGGCAGGCTGTCAACTAGCTGGGGGCGTGGCCCACCGCCCACTCCGCACACACACACACACCGAGTGACACACATGGGTAATTCCCAACGTAAACACTTTGGGAAAGCATGTCGCAAAGACATCAATTACGGCATCAGCCGCATTGCCATCAGCATCATCACCATCATCATCATCATCATCTTCATCTTCGATTGGCCAAGGGATGATGTCGATTCGGGCCCCTAGGTGGCGCTACCTCGACTGCTGTGCTTGCTTTTCTTTTTCCCTCAGCTCCATTTTCCATTTCCCATCCACATCCTCCTTCTAACCGCATTTCAAATGTGTTTTTATGTAAGCACTCAAAAAATACGGCAATTGTAAGTAAACCGGAAAGGGATACAGTGTGTATCACAATTGTAAATGTTGTTTAAGATAAACTCTGGGCAAGCGAACACAAAATTCTTTCAAAAGTCTATCAGAAAAAATAAAGCTACTATCGATAAAAATGTTTAAATTAAAAGTCTTTTATTTTTAAAGATGTTTGTATAAAAAAAAAACATCAAAAATAAATTTAAAGTTTTTACTGACTATAGACTCGTATTGAACAAGAAAGAGGTAAACAAAATAAGACTTAATGCTGGAAAAATTCGCTATCATGGGACGCACTGTCCCAAAACTGGCAGTTGTATTTACTTTGCATTGCTTAAATAAATTTTCACTACGTGTTGTGTCGTGTTTGGCCACAGAAATGGCAAAAAACGAGGGCCCAGAGCAGAACCAAATGGGACAGTTGACAAAAACTAGGCAACACTTAATTGTTGTTGCGTGCAGCAGACGAGCTCCTCAAATATTTATGCTCTATGGACTTACGTATGCGTACTATATGTGGCCATCTCAAGGAACTGGAGCTGTTCGGCAGCCAAAACACGAACGTGGAAAATTTCGCCAACGACATGGCACTCGAAGCACTTCCAAGTAGTCATCATCCACTAATTGAGATCGTTGCAACTCTGAATTAAGCCAAAAATCACGCCCTCGCTCAAGGACCATTCATATGCAGCGTTAAGTAATTAGAGGCTCCACCGCCCCACGCCCATTAGCGAACATTTTATTACAAATTTGCAGTTTTTTCGACCACTCACTGCCAAGTCTTGAGCACGAAGCGCACTTGAAGCAACAAAAAAGCGGAAATCTGCTTCCCACTAAAATGTTTTATAATTCTCGGCGGTGGGGGGTGCTGCTGCCAACTTCCTGTGTCACCTTTAACGGACTGTCAACGTGCAACAAAAACACTTGAAACTGGCAACGAGCGGAGCGGCAAAAGGGTCGCCCCTCAAGTGCTGTTTTAATTGCTTCGCAGAACAACAGCAGCAACAGTGTTTGAGCGGTCGGAAACAACAATATTACTGCCTGGGGACCAGCAAGGTTTACTGGCTTGCATATTTATTTACAGCGGTATTTAAATGTTCCTATTTATGTCCAATAAAATAGCACAATTAGATTTTGATTTAAAAAACAAAGTATGCAACTGTTATTCTTTGACATTTAGAAAATTTAATAAATCTATTTCTTTACTTCTCACTAAATTAGTTTAATTTCTTGCCTTAAAGGGTTTTAATGTTAAATAATCTTAAATATTTGGACTATCTTACTTGGATCCGTATTTGTGACTGAATTTACTTTACAATTGGGATCCATCCAAATTATAAGTCTATAAGTACTTCGTTAGTTCCTTAACAGGTGCAAACGGATCCACCAACACTGAGTTAATACGATTACTAATGATTTGTTATAATTCTAGAACTGTTGAAATTGATTTGCATAAAAGGGAGCACCACTCAGAATTCGCTCTATTCGTTTCTACCGAGCGATCATCGAAGTCCTGCATCCCGAAGGACGCTGGACAAATCCTCACGCTGCCGAATAGAACGATTCAACTCATCAACGCGGGTGCGCTTGGCTTTCAGCTAGTGTGAAAGTATGTGAAGACTGACTACAGAAATGATCCTGTGAAGTATAGTCTTAACTTTTCACTGCCCAACCTGTGGATCTTGGTGCGGTTCAGGCCAGAACTGTTTGGGAATTATAACATTGTGCCCAGGTGATAAAAACATTAATCAAACGCGGGGTGGAAATAGGTTCTAATTTTGTTTTTTTTTGCTTGACAACTATTGACACCACAGCGTTATTTGTGCGGTTTATCTTTGAAAAACCATTTCGACTTTTACCATATTTGTTTGTCAATTTGGTGAATGCAAATAGGTTTTTTAAGTTTTCTATTTTTCAATGCACTTCCATGCATTAACATAATAATGCAACCCATTTAACTCTGTTTACAGGAAGGCCTAGCATCCTACCTATTCAAGTTTAAATTTGTCAAATTGCTACGGATAAAAATAATATTTCACGCAATCAAATGATCTTAATAATATTTAAACGAAATACAAAATAATAAGGTTTCTAAGCATATATAAAAAGAACGCTGAGTGATAGTGGACATGTAAAAAATACTCTGCAATATAAAAACTTAACAAACAACTCAGTCACCAGAAAATTTGTTTATTTGTTAGCACCACAACAAAATCAACCTCAATACCGAAGATACATAATCCCTTCGCCTCAGGCAAATATAAACATAACCTTTTCTTAATTCTACTAATATTTAAATTTATTTGCATAAAAGGAGCACCACTCAGAATTCGCTCTATTCGTTTCTACCGAGCGATCATCGAAGTCCTGCATCCCGAAGGACGCTGGACAAATCCTCACGCTGCCGAATAGAACGATTCAACTCATCAACGCGGGTGCGCTTGGCTTTCAGCTAGTGTGAAAGTATGTGAAGACTGACTACAGAAATGATCCTGTGAAGTATAGTCTTAACTTTTCACTGCCCAACCTGTGGATCTTGGTGCGCTACAGGCCAGAACTGTTTGGGAATTATAACATTGTGCGAGAGGGAAAAAAAACAAACAAACGCGGGGCGATAAGCGTGCGCTGTGTATATACTTCAACAGTATCAGTATTTGAGGGTGGAAATGGTTCTAAATTTTGTTGTTTCTTGCTTGACAACTGTTGGCAGCAGCGTGCGAAAGAAAGATTATTTTAGTTTCTGGTTAACATAGATCAGCAAAAACCGAAATAAACACGTGAATATAAAAAAAAAACTTGGCAGCGGTGGGATTCGAACCCACGCCTCCGAGGAGACTGGTGCCTTAAACCAGCGCCTTAGACCGCTCGGCCACGCTACCTTGCCAGAGCTCTTGTCAAATGCTCATGAAGAGTTACCATCAGTATCTGTATCTTAAATGAGTATCTGTATCTGCGTTTTGCAACTTAACCAATAATGCGCTGTAAAAAAGTGTTCGCTGGTTATTAGATTTATTATGAAAATGTACCCTTTAGACATTTTTCGTTCTGGTATTTCAGCAATTCTTAACTACAGATATTTCTCTCACAACTGACTCTGACTATTCCAAGTAATTTCTCATCTTTGCGGTCTTGACACAACTATTTTGTCGAGTCATTCATTTCATTTACAGCTCTTTCCCGTCGGGCATATCAAGTGGACATCCGACTAACCTCTTCTAAACCGCTCGGAATGTGGCTATTGTTCCGCTTTGGACGCTGGCATTTCAATTTGTCAATTGTTTGAAATTTAATTTGATTCCGACATAGCAGCGTGCGGCCCAACATTCTTGATAATGCCGCAATTAACTCCATTAGCGTTTTTACCTGGCTGGGTCCAGGTCCAGGTGACTCTCCTCTGACCGCTCGGTTGTACGTGATTTTTTGTGTTTTCCCAGCAGCTGTCTGGCGTGGAAATTGAACAATTCTATAATTATTTCCATGCTGCTCGCCTTTAAATTTGTATAAATCCACGTGTGAGTGGCAAAATATTCCCTCTGCTGACACGGCATCTGACTTTTTGCTCCCTTTTTCGGTGGCATTTTAATGAAACCGCAAATGCTGCCCCAGTACCCCTTTTCCAGCCTTGTGTAGCACCCTTATGGCAACCGCAGACTTTGTTTTGTTTTGCTCGTCGTCCCGTGCAAAGATTTTTATTGCAATTTTCTAATTTCATTGCGGAGTCTTCTGCCCAACTCCGCCGGCTTCAGTTTATGGCTGCAGCCATGGGACGCCAGTCAGCCCAGGAATTGTTGCTGCGGTTGCATGTGTGAGCGAAGACGGGAAGACCACGACCACCGCCTGTCACGCATAAATTCGCATTTTCATTTGAATTTTAAACGCATTTCTAAGCTGACGCTGGCAGGCAAAAACGCTGACAGCCTTGCAAAATACATATAATAAACATTTTAATGCAGCGGAGCGGCAAAGGAAGACGGCCTGCGCCAGAAATTGAATTCGTTTGATTGACATTTTCCCTTTTCCAAATGAGAGCATTTATATGCGTCGCAGTGTGGGTGGAAAAATAAAGACAAGGTGTTGCGTCCATAAAAATAGTTGAACACGCAGATACAGATACTCATGTAAGATACAGATACTGATGTTAGCTGTTCATGAGCATTTGACAAGAGCTCTGGCAAGGTAGCGTGGCCGAGCGGTCTAAGGCGCTGGTTTAAGGCACCAGTCTCCTCGGAGGCGTGGGTTCGAATCCCACCGCTGCCAAGTTTTTTTTTTCATTATTTGTGTTTTTTTTGGGTTTTTCTGATCTATGTTAACCAGAAACTAAAATAATCTTTCTTTCGCACGCTGCTGCCAACAGTTGTCAAGCAAGAAACTGAAGAAACAACAAAATTTAGAACCATTTCCACCCTCAAATACTGATACTGTTGAAGTATATACACAGCGCACGTTTATCGCCCCGCGTTTGTTTGTTTTTTTTCCCTCTCGCACAATGTTATAATTCCCAAACAGTTCTGGCCTGTAGCGCACCAAGATCCACAGGTTGGGCAGTGAAAAGTTAAGACTATACTTCACAGGATCATTTCTGTAGTCAGTCTTCACATACTTTCACACTAGCTGAAAGCCAAGCGCACCCGCGTTGATGAGTTGAATCGTTCTATTCGGCAGCGTGAGGATTTGTCCAGCGTCCTTCGGGATGCAGGACTTCGATGATCGCTCGGTAGAAACGAATAGAGCGAATTCTGAGTGGTGCTCCTTTTATGCAAATAAATTTAAATATTACTAGAATTAAGAAAAGGCTTTGTTATATTTGCCTGAGGCTGAAGGAGTATGGAATCTTCGGTATTGAGGTTGATTTTGTGGTGGTGCTAACAAATAAACAAATTTTCTGGTGACTGAGTTGTTTGTTAAGTTTTTATATTGCAGAGTATTTCTTATATGTCCACTTATACTGAGCGTTCTTCTTATAGATGCTTAGAAACGTCATTATCGTGTATTTCCCTTCAATATTATGAAGAGCATTTATTGTGTGAAATATTATAATTTTTATCCGTACCAATTTGACAAATTGAGACTAAATGAGGAGGATGCTTGGCCCCCCTGTGAGCAGAGCTAACTGAGTTCCCTTATTCTGTTTGTGCATTCTGGAAAGTGCATTAAAAGTTTGGCCGCCAGGAGAAATGGGCTCTGCGTTTGGGGAAGTAACTATCCGCTAACAACGTATTATTGGCAATATTTTATAAGCTTGCCAAGACCACCCTGTGTTTCCCTTGGAGTACCTATTGCCCCCCTGGTTCTTTTGAAAAATTGGCATGTCGTTGTAACTTTTACTCGACTATGAGGAAAAAATAAAATCTCTTGGCACATAAGTTTTGTGCACGTTAAGTACTTTTTCATAACCATCGCAGTCGTTGCTGTTGTCTGGCTTTCGGAGGGGCAGAGGTGGCGGGGAAGTGTTTTCCTATGCCTCGGGGGCATAATATGCATATGCAACGACAGAGGGGCAACAAATAATAGCGAATGGCAATAAAAAGTACGATACACATTGAGGGAAAAGCAGCAAAAAGGAAACTTTAAATAGTTCCAGCTACTTTTTCGAGAGTTTTGCAAATGCGGCGGAAGCGAAGGGGAAACTGCGCCAATGTTAAATTACTTTTGGGGCAATTTTTTTTGCAGGGCTTTGGTTATTTTGCATTCCGTTTTGTGTAAAAGTTTGTGGCACTAAATTAAGCGATTACAAATGGCTATTCTTGATAATAGAAATTATAAATTGATATCAAGAAAAGTTGCCAACAAGTTTTGGGGCACGGGTAGAAATGAGTTTGTGGGTAAAAAAAATAAAAATACACTTATGAAGGAATGACAAATTTTTTTTACGCTACCTGACTGGGAGTTGAACTCGGTACCCCATGTTTTGTAGTATGAACTTCTTAACAATTAGTTGTGACATCAAAAGTATGCAACTGTTTCTGTGTTAAAAACTACGATTCTATTGCCTAAACTAAGTTTATATATTTTGGATAAAGTTGCATAAACTCTAATGCTATTTGACATGGCAAGTACCTTTTTTTGTGAACTTTGCTCCGGCACTCGTCAGCCGATTGGCTTTCTCTGCACGTAGCGTCATTTTTGACATTTAATTATGGCTCTGCCAACAGAGGAGTAAGATGTAAACTCGATTTCATGGCCCCGAACTTACAAAAGGTGATTCCATATTTCGTTTCTTGGGGCTCCGGCAATGCGTGCTACGTGTGCATCTTGTACCTGTCTATTGTAGTTCCATATGCAAGCCACATGACCCAGCCATGTCCTCTACACTGCGCGAAAACATCTGGCAATGTTTTGTTATTTATTTTAATTTATCACAATTTGTAACAAGTATGACATGTATATTTGCGTAGAGAAATGCAATAAATATTTTATATTAGGAAAAATGAATTAGGCTAAACTCTCTACATTTACCTTAAATTTATTAAAGTGCAGACTCCCTTTTCTTTCGAGATGGACGTGCGTTGTCAAAACTGCCGCTTCATTTTTTTCCCATAAAACTGGCAGTTTCCTTCTCTATTTTTCTATTTTTTTGGGAGTCCTTCTCCGCCCATTTCTTTTCTGTTCCGCAGCTGGACAACTTTGTGTGTGTCCTGGCGATTTATGAAAAAAAGAAACAGCAGCAGGACGAGTGGAGCGTCGCACGTGATGTGAAATGGCAAAGGATTTGCGAGGGGGAGGCGGACTGCTACAGGGGAGTGCACTGGACAATGGCGTCTAAATTAATTATCAAGGATAACAGCGTGAAAGGTTCAGCGACGCTGCATTGTCTCCTGGCTCCTAATTCAATTACGACAGCTGGCGGCGAGGTGGGGGCAAATTAAAAAAGGCTTAGGCCAGAGTTAATACGGACTTAAGCGGGGTAATTAAAAGCCAAAGCTGCAATTGCATTCGGGAAATGTCTTAACTCACAGCGGCTTCCATTCCCATTTTGGCTCCTGGGGGTGACTTTCCTCCCCCCTCCCCTTTGGCTGCCGTAAAATCACGAACTGCAAATCTCTCGAGAATAATTTGAAACATAGAACAGCCCGAGGAGCTGGGAGGAAAAGCCAAAAGACGATGCCGCCGAATCCCTTCCACATTAAAATATGATGAGCTCGTGAAGGCAACGGCACAAATGAAAACGAAGTTAATAAAAAAGGTTGTAAAGGGGGGGAGGGGCCAGCCAGGTGGATCTCAGGTGTCTGCGGAGGGTGTCCGAAAAATAATCAACATAAAAAAGAAAATTATTTGCAATATTATCAAGGGCTACAAAAGTTACACGGCAGACAACAGTGGAGAGCAAAACGGAGAAATGAAAATGTTGGCCATGAGAATAAAAGCCGAAATGAAAATATGGCAAGGGAGGCGGGAAAGTCAAGCTGGAATTGGTTAAGGAAATGAAAAAATGAGGAACAATGGAGAAATAACTTATCATGAATAGTTTCTGTAGTCACTTAAATGTCAATAAGCATTTTCAATGAAAGGCAATTACAAAAGACAACAAGAGAGTTTCCAAAATAAGGCAAAAATATAAAACAAAATTGTTTATATAATTTTAAATGAGTAATATAAATGTCCTTTCTTGAACTGATTTAAATATAAATAAAAACATTCTTAAAAATAACTCAAATATACCATGAAATTCCTCGCATCCTCCCACTGTGCAATCTTGATACCTTTTCGCAGAACATTTGCCTCCACTTATACTTCGCAACTGCAGTTCCCTTTCGAGTTTTGTAATTGGGGTTAGGTCCAGCAATAAAGCCCAACCGAGTAATAACAACGAAACCAAATAAACCAACAAAACGGAGATGCAAATGAAATTTGGTTTTAATCAAGCAGAGCCAGAGAGCCATGTATATTCCATGCGGGGGCCGAGATCCAAGGCCGAGTTCAACAAGCAAATCAATTAAAGGGCTGCGCCTCGAGCGTCAAACTAAAAGTCAAGATTTTCGATTCGAGTTCGACCTCTAACGAAGTCATCACTTGGCCACTTCAAAACAATGGGACAGGCGATGCATTAGGCGCCCAAAAACAAACACGAAACGTGATCAAAGTTTTTCCATCGATTTATGGCCTGTGCATCCAAAAGTGCCGGCCAACCGGTTTTATTCGGCCGGATTCATCGATCACGTCTAGAGTGAGCGATTGAAGATCAGCCACAGATCAAGTTCAAAGTCATTTGAGGCTCATGTTGCTTCCGTTGCCGTCGGCATGAGTTGGCCAAAGAGTTTTGGCCATATAAAAGCCATGCGACATCATGGCATCCACAGCACACATCTTTCGTTGAGCGCAGCCTAAACACTCAAAATCATGGTGAGTTGTACACCTAAAGTTGGAGGGAATTTGCCTTGTAATACTTTGGAATACCAGTAAAGTTTTCTGTAATGTATCGAGAATAATCTTTAAAATTGTTAAGTTTTTAGTTTAAAACATTGGGGTATATAAGTATGATTTTAAACCATGCCATTTTTGTTTGGTCTTAAATTGTAAAATGCAGAACCAATCAATATTCTTATAACAAAAACTATAACTATAACCAGAACCAATCAATATTCTTATAACAAAAGCAATAAGAATATTGATTCTTATAACAAAAACTATAAGAATGTTGAATGCTCCTCAGTTTGTTAACAATATGTTTTTACCGCCTCATTAATTTTATAAATATTTCTGCTTCTTTTAGAAATTCCTTATCATTGCCGTTGCCTTTTTGGCCTGCGCCTTCGCTGATGTTTCGGAGCTTCCTGGCTACGATTACCAGCAGCCCGCTCCTGCTCCGGTGGAGACCTACATCCCGCCTGCACCTCCTGCACCTGCACCGGCTCCCATTGAGACCTACATTCCCCCCCGCTCCCCCGGCACCCGAGTACATCCCCCCGCACCCGTCCAGCAGGAGGAGCCCGTCTTCGAGGAGATCGAGCAGCCCGCCCAAGATGGATACCGCTATAAGACCGTCCGCCGCCGCGTCTTCCGTCACCGCAACTAAAGTTGAGGCCTGTTGTTATTGTTAATTTGTTGACTCGAGTGTAATTGCTGAATACCATCCTCTGAAATTCACTTTGAGAGTAAAAATGAAGAGAAATTGTACCTGAAAACATGTTGTCTTGTATTTACTTTGGTGTAGATCAAAGTTTAGTGAACAGGAAATATATAACCCACCAAAAGAAATATCAATATTAGTTTATACAATTTGTGTAATAGGAATTTTAAGGAGTTGTTTTATAAATGGTTGATTTGTTTAAGGTGAAAAGAAAGTCATAAGAGCCGTAACAAACTTTAAATTTCATTAGGAACACAGTTTAAAATGAAACTATCACTCGACACTTTAGAAAATTCTCACGTTATTTTAATCGGTATCAACTATTTTGTATTTGATCGTGAAGAAAGTCTAAGTTTGTTCCTTTTTAAATTCAATTTGCCTTATCAAACGCTTCCCATCGGTCAAGTTCAATTTGCAATGTCAAAGTCGCCATTCGATGGTTTTCCTTGGTGATAGCCATCCTTAGCCAACCCTCTTCAACTCCAACCAACCCACAAAGGCCTAAACAAACCGCTCAAGGCCAAACACATGTTCTGGCCAACACTGGCATTCCAATGGATTCTCGCCCCTTTCTAAAGTCTGGCTGGGAAAAGGTCAAACCAACGACTAGACCAATTTGACTTAACCAAAAATTGCTGAAACATTCAATGAGCAGGGACAAGAAGTGCTTCCCCTTCTTCCGGCAATCGATTGGCTCCAGCCAAAGCAAACAAATCCTCGATTACAAAATCAAACAGAGCACAAAAACAAAGGATGGCGAAATGGAAAAAATGTTTGCCCATAATGCAAAATGGGAAAATATGCGAATTCAATAAGCTGCGACTTGGGTGAACAAAAGGGGGCATTGCGACAAGGACATGTGGCTGGGCAGGACACTCCTCCCCCTCTTCATCCTTCCCTCCTCCTCCGCCTTTCTGTCGACCCTTACAAGTCATTTGGCCAATTGCTGTTGACTCTGCGCTCTAAGGCGAATTTCCGCTGCCAAGTCGAGTTCACATATTTTGCACTCACTTTATGCTGATGACATGCAAGTGGCAAAAATTATTTGCGCTCGTGCATTTGCGACCAACTCCAACTACGGACCAGCCAAAGGCGAATAATGAGCAGCCAACAAGCTGAGGAAATCAACAAACCATCGTCTAGGCACTGGCCAAAATTGTAACTTATAATTAAAGAAAAATAATCTTAAAAACAATTGATGAAACTAGAACTAGAAACAAGTTTCGAAATAAAACAAACTGAAGTAAAATGAAAAAGAATAAAATGTGTATTATTGGGTGACAGAAAAACAGGTGGCTTGGGATAGGTTTTAATTCAAGATTAATTAATATAAAATATAGAAAAAAAGTATTGGATCCTATTTATTAACTTTAGGGACTCCTTTTCCCTCGGTGCATTCAGAGGCGGAAACAGGACTCAGGATCCAAGGAACAGGAGCGAAAAAAGAAATGCCGCCCGACGGCAGACAGCTTCCATTTCCATTTCCAGCGTCTTCTTTGTCGTGACATACGGAAAATTCCCCACGGAGTCTATCAACAGTTGATAAAGCAAAATGTGCGTACGGCAGCCGGAGAAATGGAAGGACCCTGGATGGCATTCTTTTCCTTTTTGGTATGTACATAAGTTTATTATTTTGAAGGTAATTGGATTTGTGTTGCAGCAGTCAAGGAGTCGCCACAGCATAATAAGAAAATATAGACGAGGACAATGAACTTGGGGGCGCGACAATCCCAACATATGCTCAGTGCTCAGTGCCCGAGGAATCGCCTCTGGCCGGGGAGTCCATCCATTGGACATCGCACATTGGCCATTGTTTGCACTCGTAATTGTTTTCCTAATGGATAAAGTCTATAAATTTCTGCGCCCGACGCGCGGCCAAATGCGAAATATGTCACGAATGTTAAGCGTTTTATAAACGACTTCGATGCGAGTGTGGGCTTCTCTGGAGTAAAGGAGCGGAATGCAGAGGATTTATCGATGTTGGCCACTCAGCGGGACGGAGAACTGGCCACCGGATTGCAGTTGTCAAGCGGATGGGATGGAGTCCAGTGCTGATGCACTCGCCAATGACTCGTAAATTAAGATCTTGATGGAGTCCCAGTCCCTCCTTTCCGAATCGTTCACCAACTCCAATCGTTCTCGGGCGCCCGGAATTCGAGGAGTTTGGGCATCTTGTTGAAATGTCTTTGTTTTTCTTTGATTGGGACTTGCAAAAATGTTTATCATAATTCGAACGAGAGAATAAATATCGAATTTCTTTAGCTAAAAAACCAATAACCACATTTGCTTTTTGGCTCCTAATTTAAAAAAAGTATTGAGATGGTAAAAACATTCAGTAAACATTGAATAATATTATATTTTAAGAACTAAACTTTTGGTATTGACATTTTTAGAGGTTTGTTGAAGATGCGGTAAGCTATTCATAGTCGAAAGTACCATGATGAATCCCGAGTAGTCTGGTCATGTTATCTTTGACAATCTGGGCTCTGTTCGGGGTATCATCTTTTCTTTGGTCCTTCAGTCGATCGATGGCCAAGGGAAATGATAATCCATCGCCGCGACTCGAGAAGATTGGAAAAGGCCAAAGGTACCATTTATCGCCAAAAAGCTCTCCGAAATTACCACAACATCCCAAGTCAAAGCCATGGTTGTTCTTCCCGCCAACGAAAAAGTGCGGAGCATAACTCGATTCCATGGTGGTGCGATTTCGGGACACATTGAATACGCTGACAGTGTACATGGCCAGCGTGAAAATGTTGAATATAATGCATACCACGTATTGGAGGAGACTCCAAGAGTGCTCGCGTTTCAGGTATGTAAAATCGAATCCGCAGACTAAGTACGTATCGAAGATCATCGTGCAGAAAAGAAAGAAGCAATACAGCTCAGCGTAGAAAAGAAAGAGTATGAAGTACTTAAAGTTGTGGAAGTGGACGCAGTTCACCACCCAGGGACAGTGGTGGTCCATTTTCAGGACGCACACGTGGCAGGATCGACAGTGATGGGCCCGATCTGGCTTAATTATCCAGCAGGTCTTGCAATAGCGAACTATGCCATCACTCGTACAGCTGGCGATGGGTAAATTCCGCGAGGCGTTGCTGAGGATTCGCGCTGCTGCCTCGACTCCTTCGCTTCGCTCCAATCTGTCCACATCCTCTGCAGATATTCTCCACTGGTCGGGAATCTTAGCGGGCGCTACGCAAATGCACTGGAACCAAGTCCACAGGAACATGAAGAGCAGCAGGTGGTAGAACAGGAGCATAATCCCCATCGTCACCAATCCCTCAACTCTTTTTATGCAGATCTGGTAGACGAAGACGTGGTAGGACCAGACCAACATGGCCAGGATCAGGAGGATAGGAAGCCATCTAACCACGCAACAGGGATTCTTCCGTCGCTCCGAACTGTCTCTGATCAGGCACATCCTGGAATGACTTCTCACCCTGGTGGGTAATTGCTTCTGTCAGCCCTGTACGAAAGTCATCATTTCCGACGCCTACCTAACATAAATTTGTCATAAAAATTTCCCAGAATTAATGTTATCTGTTATCAGCTAGCAAGTGATAACAATCGTTAGTTAATGTTGTCAAAAAACAGTTACCAAAAAGCATCCAATTGTTAACAATAGTCATGATATTGATTTTCTGCCCAAAAGTAGTTACTTTTGGCATTTAAAAGTCAGTATTTTTACCATAAAAAATCACATAATGAACCAAATTCAAAATGTTATAGCTCGTTGAACTCGTAATAAAATACACAACAAATTGGCATTCACAAAAAAAAAATTTTTTTTTTTCCAAAATTTGGTAAAAAATACAGTGTTACCCCTTATAAAAAATTCAAAATTTTGAAAAAAATAAAAAATTTTAGTTTTGAATGCAGATTTATTTTAAATTTTATTTCGAGTCTAACAAGGTATGGCATTCCAAATTTGGCCCATTATTGGCATTGTTATGGTCGAAATACTGGATAAAAGAGGGTAAAAATGGCAAAAAATTAAAGGAAATTCTGAATAAGTCTGGAATGTTGTGTTTCACCTTCTTTGATAAAATAAGAGTGACAAAACTGTATAATAAAATAGGTTGATAGCCAATATACCATAGCCAAATCTCTTAAGATGTTCGCTTACAAAATTTAAGCAAAGACCTTAACTTGTTTACTTCCCAATAATAAACCAACGTTAAATTTGATCGGCATTGTTATGGCCGAAATACAGGACAAAATAGGATAAAAATTGCAAAAAATTAAAAGGAATTCTAAATAAGTATGGGATGAGGTGTTTGTCCTTCCTTGATAAAATAAGAGTGAAAAAACTGAATAATAAAATAGGTTGATAGCCAATATACCATCTTATAGGATGTTCGCTTACTAAATTTAAGCTAAGAGCTTATCATGTTTACCTTCCAATAAAAAACCAACGTTATATTTGTTTTCATTATTTATTTACTCTCCAAACAAAACATTAACAGATTCCCCAGCAAATGTGACCTTTGCTGACTTATCACATTAGCCAACAATTGCACCTTTGTGATTGTGACTTAGTTGCGGTGACGGAAGACGCGGCGGCGGACGGTCTTGTAGCGGTATCCGTCCTGGGCGGGCTGCTCGATCTCCTCGAAGACGGGCTCCTCCTGCTGGACGGGGGCGGGGGGATGTAGGCGGGGGCCGGGGCTGCGGGGGGGATGTAGGTCTCCACGGGAGCGGCCACGGGCGCGGGCGGGATGTAGGTGTTCTTGGGCGCCGGCGGTGGTGGTGGTGGTGGGGGGTGGGATGTAGGCCTTGGCCGGAGCCGCAGGCGGTGGGATGTAGGTGTTCTTGGGTGCTGGTGGGGGTGGTGGTGGTGGTGGGGGAATGTAGCTCTTCACGGGTGCCGGGGGAGCGGGCTGGGGATAGTCGTAGCCACCGGCTGACAGCTCGGAAACATCGGCGTAGGCGCAGGCCAAGAAGGCGACGGCAATGATCAGGAATTTCTAGGATGAGAAAAAAATATTTTTTATTAATTTTCCATATATTCTCTGCATATTTCCTTGTATAAATTCGAGTATCCTTTAATTACTATAATCCTGGCACCCACCATCTTGAGGAGATTGGCTTGTTGCTGCTTGGATCACAAGTCGATTTGTGCTGCTGAACTCGAAGTGTGTCTTGGGTTTTATAGCTCATTGTTTTGCGGGGCTGCGGGTCAACCGCGGCTAAATTAATTGCATGATGCCCCCATGATACATGGGGGTCTTAGCCTCACTCAAAGAAGTCGGAAGATGGCCGAAACCGAACACACGACAACGGGCCTCCAATGCCAAGGCAGTTCGACGGGTTTTCTGGTTTCGTTTTCAGCTTTAGTTTTTAGTTTTCAGTTTCGGTTTCCAAAATCGTTTTATCTCTGCTTTGACTTGGGTCAACTTTTTGTTTCAGGCTTGAGAAACTGCAATTAGATCAAACAAATCTTTTGTTGCATGTTTCATTTTTATTTAATCGTTTTGTTTTAATTCAGCTTTTTTGATAAATGCTCGTGGGTCACACGCTAGATTGGGTTAGGTTTTTTGTTGCTATAATCATTTTATTTGTTTCTTTTTTGGTGTTTCTGTTTTGAGCTGGCTAAATTATTAGCAGTTGGCCAGGCCTATGGCGTCGTTTCAAGTTTATGCCAAAATTAATTTCAATTTGCTTATATTATGCTGATCTTCACAATGTCTGGCGGGGTTGTCTGTTGTGGCTGGTCTTTGCTGAGCTTAATTAATTACTCAAGTCCAAACTGGGTTTGCCTTCTTCGAACACCTGGCTTATAAAACAGTTTATTTAAGCGTCGCATCATCTGGCTGGCGGATGGTGAACATGTTCGGGGGAATGATGGAGTGAATTTGTTGGGAGCAGATAAATTCTAAGAGGTATCCCTAATGCTTAAAAAGGTTATAGGGGCAAAAAAGGTTTTGCTACTAGAATTTATTCTAATTAGTCCACTTAAAGAAAACGCTGTAGCTAAAGCTTGGTTTGTATTCGTTATCTATTATTAAATATATGTTTATTTTAAAGTTTGTCTTCGCTTGATTTGCTTAAACATATATATCTCATTTAAATTAAAAAATGCCTAAATATCTTCATGACTTTATAAATTACATATTTGCATATAAATATAATAATAATAAATAATAATAATAGTAAACATAAGCATTAAACATATTAATCATATTCCCTGCAAGGCAATTAATTGGTTTTTGTGTTGGAAGAACTAAGATTTTCTTCTGGTATTTATTACGACAGAAACAATAATAATTCTTAAAAATTGACATTTAGAACGTTTTAAAAAACATTCCTTAAAACTCACATTTTTCCCTTTCCCAAAAAACATATTCAATATGGTTAATTATACGTATTTTTGTTTTATTTAATAAACTTATCCCTGGGCGGGATCAGTGAGTGGCTTTCTAGTAACGACGATGGACCACACGGCGGATGGTCTTGTAGCGGTAGCCATCGGCGGAAATGGGCTCGATCTCCTCCAGAACGGGCTGGGGGGCCAGGACGGGAACGGGGGCGGCAACGGGAGCGGGGGCAACCTGCACGGGGGGCGGGCACGAAGACGGGAGCGGGGGCGACCTTCACGGGGGCGGGGATGCTCACGGGTGCGGGGGGAATGTACTGGTTGACGGGGGCGGGAGCGACCTGCACGGGTGCGGGCACGAAGACGGGAGCAGGAGCAACCTTCACGGGGGCGGGGATGGCCACTGGTGCGGGTGGGATGTACTGGTTAACAGGGGCGGGGGCGACCTTCACGGGGGCGGGGATGGCCACGGGAGCGGGAGCCGGGGCGGGGATCTCGATCTGGATGGGGGCTGGTGCGGGTGCAGGGGGGATGTAGGTGTTCACGGGCACGGGCACGGGAACGGGGGCAGGAGCAGGGGCCACCTTCACGGGCAGAGGAGCCGGAGCGGGGATGCTCACGGGGGCGTAGTTGTAGCCCGACAGGTGGGACACATCGGCGTGGGCAACGGCCAAAAGGGCAACGGCGACAACCAGGAATTTCTGCAGTTAAAATTGCCAAATTAGTCAGGATTCAAATGAGGTTTCTATTATTTTGCTACTAACCATTTTGGATATGTGTTACTTGGAACGTTGGTGTTTCTAGTATGTCTTGGACTCATCCGCCAGGTGGTATTTATACCAAAACCTGGGCGCGGTGCAGAAGCGAAAGATAAACGTTAACACGAGTGAAGAAGTGCGGATATCAGGGTCTCTTAATATGCCAGAAACCAGAATTTTACGAGCCACGCCAATGGTCAACGGCGGTGACACCCTACGTCGACCAGGAAGAGTTGTTTCGACAGCAGATTACCTGTTTTCAAGTCATTTAGTTCTCTAGAGATTCTAGATTTCTTGAAATTTATGTTTCTTGTTCTAAAATATAAGGATTCGATATTTCATTTGCATTCATTCCGTTAATCTAAAAAACGAACTTGAAGGTAAGTATTTTCTAAACCTATTTATTTATAGATCAAATCTCCCCAACTGAATGTTATACATGAACATGTGTGTCTTTATAAGTATGATTTTATTTCGAATATCAAATAAATACAGTAACATAGTTAATAGTAAGCCAAGCAGATTAAGACAATAAATGGGTTTAAGCCAATTTGTTAAGCCAATCATCAGTTTGCAGGGGCAATCCAAAAGTGCCCCTAGCTTAACATACTCCTCTTCACTCGTACTTGCTTGTTTTTGACATTGTCTTCATTTAAATATCATTTGCATAAAACATTTGAGCTCTAGTGTATCAAATTGAACTAACAAAACTAAAGCCGCTCGAAAACTGGAAACAACTCTCGGGCTTTTGGCGAATAGAGGCCTACGGCGCAGAGACTTTTTGGTCTAGAGCCGCCAGACAAATGGCGAATTGAGGCTTTGGTCATTAATCTGCCGGATCGACTGTGATAAGGTGGCCAAAACAAGAGCCTATTGCTTGATTATGTATGGGAACCTGAGCAGATGGGCCAGGGAACTTAACAAGCGCCTGAAATTAGCTGCTTCGATCGGGTCAAAAGTTGAAAATGACGCCAGCTAGACCGCCGCCATGTGTCACTGCCAAGCGGAAAACAAATTAGCCAGACGGGCAGGAAGTTCTGGGGCCACTTTAAGTGGGAGAAGGGCCGAATAACAGCCCGAAACGGTGAAGGACATCACTTCGGCCCGAGCACTCTCTCCTTTTAATTACACAAATTGCTAATGAACAATTTTCCGGTTGGTGCCAAAAATCCGCGGAGACTTTCCGACGCCGGAGTGATTTAATTTCCGTCGAATTTGTTTTCCTCGGAGCGTAAAAATAAAACAGCGATAGCATGCACATGAGGCGAAGGGAGCGGAGTGGAGTGGAGTGTTGGTGTTGTCAAAAAGCTATGCAAACAAGCACTTAACCCCTTTTATTTTGACAATTCCATTATTTTCGCAGCGCCAATAAACCGAAACTGCAAATGTATTTCGAACAAATACACAAACACTCTCTAGCGGAGCATGCTACATGGCCGCAATGGAATGCTGGTCATGCAACGCTGCGTATACGTAATTTAGTTGTTTGAACGTTAATAGTTGACATGCAGTGCATGGTGGCGTCATCAGAGGGCAAATGGAAAATATATAGTTCGTTCCCCTTGGAGAGCATAAAAAACTACGAAGAAGTAATGGCATCGGAAAATATTTTCCCAATTCGCATTTGAATTGGTTTACCAGTGGCTTAAAATATTTTAACAATATGAAATGGAATCTTAAATATAAAATGGTTATCATTTTAGATTCCTTTCACCCGTAATTTACTATCTAAAATAAATATTAGCCCAAGTTCACTGAACCTCCGACTGGCTCCAGTCTAATGAATTATATATATTTTTATACATTTATACGATTTTGGAGACACGCGCTTCGATCTGAACGCAGATAGCTGCTAGATACAGCTCGCACTCATTCGCATACAATATTTGCATAACTATTTTGCATTATTGGTGCAAAAACTGATTTAATAAATATTCAGAATGCAACTACCCCAGTCGGTGACTTGCAGAACTTCAAGTGGGGATGACAAACTCTTGCCAATCGATTTTCAACATTTTCCGACGTCCGATGGAACCCGGCTCATAAATTCATTCGCCGCATCGGTATATATCTTTGCAAATGTGTGTACGGCTGTGTGTATATACCTGCACCTGATAAATCAACGGGCGACAAATTAATGCTGCAAATGAAGTGCAACTGCTGGCATCGAACGCGAGAGGAATCGAGGACCCACCTGTCCAGGATAACGATTATTTTCGCGCCTCTTGCCGCTCGGCCCCCCTTCCCCTGCCCCTCTTCCGATGTCGCCCCAATATGCAGTAACAGTAAAAATAAATGAAGGCAGTCAACGTTTGCATATTTCAGTGGCTGATGCCCCCTCCACCGCTCCAACCCCCCCTTCGATTCCCTTGTTTTTCCGCTTTATTTTTCGTTTTTGGGCCCCCAACTGCTGATATAATTACGTTGATACTGTCAATTTCCCAACGATCCATGTCCCATATCCATGTGCACTCCGCACGTTCGATTCCGCACTGTCGCTTTAAAGCCGTAAGCCAGCCGGACAGCAACTGGGATTCCGGCGGGTTCGAGGGACCCATCAATTTTTACGCCCGATTTATTGAGTGAGCAGGGGTAGAAAGAGGGTATATTTCGCAATCGAAGTTATCCAGCAACTTTGGAACATTACCTAAGAAAATGTAGAATAAATTTATAAAGCTGTTTAATCAATTGTTTTTTGAGTGTTGTTTTATAAGTGGATGTTACAGAATACATCTTTTTTTTTCTTTTTTTTATTATTATTTATTATTTATTTATTATTATTTATTTTTTAGCGCACTGCTACTCAGTTACTGCTACAACTTAATCTAATCAGTCTTAATGAATTGATAAAATCGATTTTTTTTTTTTTTTTTTTTACATGTAGGTGTTACAGAATACATCTTATTTTTAAACCCAATGTTTTTTGTTCATTTCTAGACTTCAGTCTTATGTTTTCTCCACCAAAATACAGGTCATCAATTATTCGAATACCATCTCTGCGAAGGCCATCGCCTCTGTTGTTGATGATGACATTTCGGTTTTTTGCCACCGCATTTTCACTTTTTCCGTTGGAGCGATTCCTTCTGCATACTTTTAGGCCGGCTGACTCGTGATTATTTTGTAATCCACGGCGCCTAAAGCATTGATTACACATTTTCAGACCATCTGGCGGCCAGGTTGGATTGCCAATGGCCAAGGATGGGGTTATTTTGGGTGGCATTGGGTCGCAAACCGACTGGCGGAGATGTCGATGGGTCGCGGCCATAATGCGTGTTAATCAGGCATCATTAACTGCTAATTAAGTGCGGTTGGAAGTGCAACCAACTGTCAATTGTGGGGAGTGCGCCATACCTGGCTCCTTTTTATTTAATCGCCAGTCCTTCAGCCTGGCGGAGCAGAGTGCAATGAGGCTGAAAATTGCCCAATCCATGCCACATTGCAGTAACTATTGGAATTTAAACTAATCGCTGGCGGGGTTTAGTAAAATGAGAGGATATTTGGACGAAGTTATAAATATAATAAGCCAAAATCAATTATTGGAAAGACCCATGAAAGTAATTTGAACTAGTGTTCAAGTTTCAGGAGTTTGTATATAAAATAAATGATTTAAAGAAGATCGTAAGTAATGATCACATAATTAAATGCCTTTTTCTTCAGATTCTTATGCTGCTGTTTACTTTTATATATTTTATTAAATATACAAAAGGTGTTCCTAATCGAAAACCTTTATTCTTTGGAAAGAGCAGAAGCCAAAAAAACTGAAATATTTAATTTGCCCACCACACAAACTAATCACCGCTGATTGGAGTGCGGTCTGCCCGAATCGTCTCTAAATTGTAATTGCCTGTCAAATAATTTTAGTGCATTCCCATTCCTGTACCCCTTAAATAAGGTTCCCTTTGCACGTGTGTATCGACTGATACAAAGCAAAACTGTGTTTTAATTCATTTAATTGAGCTGCCAATATTCGACCAGAATGCAATTAACGAAATAAGCCGGGACAATCAATCCATTGTGGTTCTGACGAAGGGGGAGGCGGTGGAAAAAAATGATTTTGTTTTAATTACGCAATTAATTTTAGTAGCTTCGCCGTTTGTTTTTGCGCTTTTTAATTAGTATGCGCAGTGGCAAGTGTAATATGTGGCTCTGCGGTCGTCCTGGCATTCAGACGGGTATTATGTCGGGGTAATGGGTAATGGGCCCCCAAAGTCTTTGCCACAGCCAGACATTTCCCTAATCAAATTGCAGGAGGGAAAAGCTCCGTAGACATTTGTCGCTGCCTTTTCTTGTTAATTTTCCGCAGCGTCTATCGACTATCGACTGTCGTCTGTCGGTGTCCTGGTGTCCTTGCTCCTGGCCCGCCTTCGATTCCATCCTGCCACTTGTTAGCAGCCACAAGTGGTCAGTGGTCGTCTGATGAGGCCAATCCACTCGGCTCCGTCTCCGTTTTGAGCTGGAGCCACGGAATCATCGATTTCGTGTGGGTGCACAGATAAAAATAGCATCAAGATTAACCAAGGTATGTCTAATAATTCAGGTGAACTTACTAACAAATTAAGTTCCCTCTCAAGAATTCCTAAACATAACAGAAAACGATCTTAGCTAGTATTTGTAACAAATAGTAAATTCCATTAAAGTTGGTTGAAAATACTTAAGCATAATAAGTTTTTTGTCCATTCAACGAGGTATTGTCTAATCATTAATCATTAGAATACAATCTTTTCCGGAAATATACCTAGTATTTGTATATTCAATTCTTTATATTTAATTCTATATATTTAATTCTATTAGTTGAGTGAAATAAATTTTCCGATTTCTGAGTGCATCTGGAAACTTTTGAATCTAACGAGAAAAAATTTCCACATCATCAAAGCTCATTCCAGGCCATAAATTTCGTGATAAATGTGGAGTGGCGAGGACGGAGGACTTGCATGGAGTCCGCCATCAAATCGAATCCTTGGGGAGTGTTCCGCAACTTGCTTGCAACTCCTTATTATCCTCTGCCCCCCTGCCTGCCCCTCCTCACTCCTAAGTCGCACTATCTGTCCGATGGTAAGTTGATTCCACCCGTCTCGCCATCTCTCCGGGTTTCATAAATTTCCCACTCAAATGGCCAGAGCAAACTTAAGAGTTTCCACCCATTCTCCTGTTTCCCGAGTGATTTGCTATGATTGGAAAACAATTTGAAGACTTTTCTTTTGTTTAACAAATTGAAGGCGGAAATTTTTTATTACGACTCCCCGTGGGGATTCGTTAGGAAACAGTTTTTCGTTGGGCTTTGGTAAGTTTAGATGCGGTGACGGTAGACGCGACGACGCACGGTCTTGTAGCGGTATCCCTCGTTGGACACGGGCTCGATCTCCTCCAGAACCTGGGTGTTGCTTGGCTGGTAGACGGGAGCGGGAGCAGGAGCGGAGTGGAAGACTGGAGCTGGAGCAGGGATGCTGATGGGAGCAGGAGCTGGCTGGTAGACCGGAGCTGGAGCAGGAGCAGGAGCAGAGTGGTAGACTGGAGCTGGGGCAGGAGCAGAGTGGTACACTGGAGCTGGAGCCGGAGCAGAGTGGAAGACGGGAGCTGGAGCAGGAGCAGAGTGGTAGACGGGAGCTGGAGCTGGGATGCTGATTGGTGCAGGAGGCACATAGGTCCTCACGGGAGCGGGAGCAGGGATCACAACTGGAGCGGGAGCTGGGATAACAACTGGAGCGGGAGCCTGGATCACCACGGGAGCTGGAGCGGGAGCTGGGATCACCACTGGGGCAGGAGCAGGCTGGTAAACGGGAGCTGGGGCCGGGATGCTCACGGGAATGGGAGCAGGGGCTGGCTGGTAGACCGGAGCTGGTGCGGGTGCAGGGGGAATGTAGGTGTTCACCGGGGCAGGGGCGGGGATCTCGATGGGAGCTGGGATGCTGATGGGAGCGGGAGCTGGGATGCTGATGGGAGCGGGAGCTGGGATGCTGATGGGAGCGGGAGCTGGGTGGTAAACCGGGGCGGGGGCTGGGATCCTGATGGGAGCGGGAGCTGGGGCTGGGTGGTAGACCGGAGCCGGAGCTGGGATCACAACTGGAGCGGGGGCGGGAGCTGGGATCACAATTGGAGCGGGAGCAGGAGCAGGCTGGTAGACCGGAGCTGGAGCTGGCTGGTAAACCGGAGCAGGAGCAGGCTGGTAGACCGGAGCCGGGGGAGCGTAGTCGTAACCCAAGTGGGACACATCGCCATAGGCGCAGGCCAGAACGGCAAAGGCAATAACCAGGAATTTCTGGAAAACAAAAAACCCAAACCGTTAGCGATATAATCCTTGATCCTGCGGCCGTGTGGGTAGGCTCACCATGATGACAGCTGCGATCTGTTACTCCAAGAGCGAACGAGTGGCTTCTGTCTTAGGAGGCCCAGCAGCAAACTATTTATACGAGACCGAGCCCAAAATTCTGCAAGCCAAAAACTTGAACTGAACCTCAGGCCGACTGAAGATCGTCAACGGCTCATCTGAATAATCAGCGCAGATGAGATTTCTGCTGGTTTTTTGTTTGGGGGTCGTCAGAATGGAGTAGCACCCATTGGAGACCGGGTTTAATTGGTGGATTGGGGCTTAGGATTGGTGATTAAGCCGCTGACAGATGGATGAATGCTGGTGGGGTGGGCATCACCCAAAGTGACTTTTAGATGACATTAATCTGGTGCAGAGTGCCAACGGCATATTTTATGGGCTCACCTGAGATTTTATTTGGCAGCTGGATTTATGGACCATTGGTATTTTTGGCACACGCGTCAGGTGTAGCCGGAAATTTGCAATAATCGCTTGCAGACGCAGAAACTGGTTGGATTTTACGACTAGTTCGACAAAGGTTAGAAGCCATTGTTCTGGATTAATAGGATCCGAAATTATTCAGCAGTCTTGGCGTCATTCTTGCAGACCTCTTAATGGAATCTATTGTCTAAGGCGAGGCGCCCACTAAGCAGACTTTATGCTAATACAAACTGTAAGTTGTCGAAAAACAAACCGACTTTTTTCAGTCCCATAATTTTGTTATCTAACGAACCCTTGGTGGTCAATTAATTTCCCTAAACCAGTTGCCCACGATTATGGGCCTAAAATTATGGATTCCACTAGTTGATTTCAAGGTCCCACTATTTATGGCTCGACGACTTAACGAATGCTTCTCAGGAAAAGATTGAAAGAGATTATAATTATATGATCCACACCTCGGATAATTGTTTGGACCTTAGCGCATAAAGCACCGTATACAATTTCATATATAATTATGAATGCTTCATTGCTTTGTGGCAGCTTAATTTATTTCCTCTTCATCTTGGTACGCGCTTTAATTATTCTTCGCCTCTCAACACGGATCGTTATTTCTTTAATTTGTCTCCCTGTTAAATTAAAGCTAGTTAATAATTTAATTTTCGTGCAGGTCAAAAAATCCATACAATGTCAGCATTTATTTGGTTTATGACTTGGACACTGGCTGCTGATTTTTCGGGGTGTTGTTTGGACTTCAAGTGCAAACTCGTTAATCACATTATTCATGGCCCGCATCAAGTCAAACATTTAAAAACTCGTTGTTTGGTTCAGACTACCAGGCATCCAAGTCTCTTCTGCATTTGTTTATATTTCACGTATGTAAATGCCGATCGCGTTAGACATGCTGAGATTGCCAGCTTGGAGTTTGCTTATCATTTGCATGGCAAATGGCTTCCGTTGTTGTTTTTACTTGGCCCGGTTTTATGGCTGTGCATATCGGCAGATGTTATTATAGGCGAATCCCAATTAAACCATTGTTTATTCACTCAGTTGATACCTGACCAAAACTGTCATAGCTGGTTTCGCTATTGGCCAAAGAAAAATATTTCGAAAGATATTCCCTTGATTTTGAGTAGACTATTTTCTGGTATCTGTAACTTATCATTTCGGGGATTTTTTAAATTCGTTTCCCGCAATTAAGATAGACTTGTTAAGTAGCCATGTAAAGGTCGATCATATGAATTTGTTATCACATTTACATAACTTAATATCAGCCGGTTTTGCGATACGTCAGTGGCAGGCAGTGTGTTAATAAGATTTACCATGTTCTGTCCACAAATAACCTTTGGTTGTCGGAAGAGAAAATCTCCTTAAATAATGCTTGATGTTTTTAGGTTTGAAAATATGAAAAATGGTTGGGGAGCATCATTTATTTTTGGTTAAGCTAACGTTGAAGTTATAAGAATTAATTTGAATGAATTAATATCGATTTGATCCCACAATTCAATAGGCGATATAACCGGTTTTATGCTAATGTTGTCTTGAACTTCAGATAAGCTTTTGAATCCCAAATTGGACTGATTCGTTACTATATTTCCAAAATACATTAATTAAACTCTATTATGTTTTGGTTACTCTTGGAGTGTGGTATTTTTTAATATTGATAAGACTTAAATGTGAATCTATTTCGATTTGCTCCCACAATTCAATGGGCAATATAACCGGTTTTATGCTGATGTTGTCTTGAACTTTTTTAGATAAGATTTTAAATTCAAAACGTTGGGACTGATTCATTATTATATTTTGAAAATACATTAGGAAAAATCTATTATATATTGGTTACTCTGTGAATGTGGGATTTGTTAATATTGATAAGACTTAAAATGTTAAAAACAAGTTTATTATATTGTATGACTTAAAAGTATATAGGCTTTTAGTTATAGTTTCATATATAGTTGATAGTTTATAGTTGATAGTTTCATTGCGCTTTACATATCAATTCATTTTACAAAGTAATGTTGAATAATCTTACAAAATTCAATATGAGACGAATATTTATTTTCAAATGTATGTCTGTCTTCAAATGTATTTGTTTTTTTTTTCCAAATTTATTTTCTTCGTTTAAGTCTGCTAAAAGATTTATAATACTTTTGAGTCTGCCCTCGCTGGTGGGAGGAGCTAAGTTGATCATAAAGCTAGATATGTTTTCGTCTCTTTTTCATTCTCACTTAGAGAAACTTAATAAAGATGGTATATCCCATAGCTATTCACATTTGGCATTTTTTATGCACTGCCTTATTAATTTTGGGCCAATGCCTGGCTGCCTTAGCAAACCGAAAAAAATCAAATAAAACAAGCTGCCAAAGAAAGCGGAAGAAAGTGGAGAGTGGGTGGCGAGGGGGTGGCACGAAAAGAAAGGAGGAGTCAAGTTACGAGCAGTGCACAGGAGGCAACAACGGAAATGAAATCACGTACCAGGGGCGTTGTCATTCTCAATGAGTGTGTGCCTTAGTGTTCGGTTGTTGTTCGCGTTGTTGTACCAGTTGTGGTTGTTGTTCGAGTTGTCAGCAGTCGCGGCGACGACAGAAGCTGCCATCTAAATATGTATGTGGGTACTGCAAAAAAATTTGTGTAATGGTTTCGTTTCCAAATAAGATAATTTCAATTTCCAAATATAAATAACGCGTCATATATTTCAATTTCCAAATATAAATAACGCGTCATATATTTGTAATTTATATACCCATGAACAACTAGAAAACAATGTGTCATGCGATTGAAAGATTAATATGGTGAAGGCAAAGACTGGCACAACTTACGCCAGAGGAATATTATTACAAATATTGCTCTTCTGATAATAAGTAACTTGACAAGTGACAAGTGAAATGGGTCAAATAAATTGGAGATAAGAGGCGAATTCCGGGTCTTAGACTTAGAGCGGATGTGGTTTTACAAAATTCGTTTAGTTCAATTGCTGGAGATAACGCTCTCTGGGGAAAATAAATTGAAACAAGTTGCCGAAACTCAGCTATTTATTTTGTGAGCCGAGCTCATAAGGAGTCAGTCGAAATTTCTTCTCGGAGAAGCAGGTTCTTCAACTCAACCGCTGCCCCGATCGTTTGAACTTTAACATGTGATATATCCTTTGTATATATGTTCTCGCAATTGGGAATATCCGCCGCTTTTGCAGGATCAGTAGGACAATATAACTGTATTTTCATACTGATCCCGAGAAAATGACGGCGGGATTTCCAATTGCAAGAACATAGATACAGTGGTTAAATTGTTGGAGAAAAGATAACCACCTATCCATACCGTGCTGAGGGATTGATTTCTTGGAGATGGGACATCTATACCTTGGACATAATAAAGAAGATCAACCACTCCATCTGATAAATGTAAGTACCTAACTAAGAGTTGGGTAATTAAGCATTATTACTAATTCCATTTCCTAATAGGAGGTTAATGCGTTTTCTAACTTCGCCTTGGATCATCAAAGAAATTCATACCTGATGTCATATGTAAAGACGTGATGATTAAGTGCGGTTTTTGGATGTACCTTGAATCATCATTGAATAATGCGTTTTCTAACTTCGCCTTGGATCATCTAAGAACTTCATACATGATGTCATAAATAAAGACGTGATGACTGAGGGCGTTTTTTGGATGTTCCTTGAATCATCAACGAATCATCTGATGTTATAAATAAAACGGGATGATGAATCCAACTAAACAAAAAAACTAAATTTAGTTTGAATTGAAAAGCCATTAATTATATGAGTCAAATACGAGTGACGCAAATAATAGTCGTATGCAACAGCAGCTTAAAGTTCCAATTTGTGACTACTACTATTTCGCGCAGTGCAGTGCTTGTTTGTGTGTGCGAACGTCTAATGTCCAATTTCAATTTGGACTGGCTGGCTGACAGAGCTTGTCGCCGTCCACCGCAAATGGCAAACAATGTATGTGTGTAGAAGGTGCTCCCCCCCTGAACCCCCCCCCCATTTCACATATCCACGGGGAAAAATGGGTGTGAGAATCGGAGGTGGGGAGTTCAGTTGGTTGGGAGCTAAGTTTATTTACTTTTAACACGAAATAATAAAGTTTACAAAAAGGAAACGTGCGCCGTGCGCAATGCTGCACTTCTTAGCGATATCCCGTTATGCTCGTGCTCACCGCGCGAGGTGGTGACTGTACCTCGCCTTTGACAAAAGCCATTTTAGGGATTTTTAAGCGCACAAAGGGAAAATTTACTTTTCAGGGAGAGCGGGGGGAAGGAAAAGCAAGAATAGCTATCCGAAAATGAGATATCCTGTAGTGGTTTACTTTTAAACATTAAAGAAGGGAGATTAGTATAAAGTAACTAAATATCGTTAGTTGAGAATATAAAAAAAATGTAAAAAGGTATTTAAATAGGTAATTTCTTAAGCCTGGGATTCACCAAATTTTAAGAAAGATACCAGCTTATACAACGTCAAGCCACCGCGGGTTAATCCAACCTCACCCTTATCCACAATTTGTCATCCTCCAGAAATACCACCTCTTTTTAGACCCCTTTCTCAGAAAAGGGACAATTTTAGCCAGCGCATTGCAGTGAAGGAAACTTTGTGCCCGAGTGGCAAAAAAAAAGGTAGAAAAATTAGCGACATGCTGTGT